CTGTCTGCTGACTTTCATATTTTCTGAGGCAACATCTGGCATAAAAACTGATTGCAAATATGATCAGAGTTAGCAAGATTTTCTTCCAGCAGTCTTCCAGCTGGCTTTATTCCCAGATATCAGCCCAATGGAAAAGAAAAACCTATTTGGCAGTGTCTCCAGCTGCAGTTTTTCATTCTTCAGGTAGAACAGTTTCCAGTCCTAGGGACCTTTTGTGGATGTGGAATTCAGATGACGGAGTCTGAACTGCACTGGAACTGATATGGCCTCTGGGGTTCTGGACAGATTCTCTCTGATGCCTAAATAATTCAGAACCCCAGCTCGTGCTGTAGAAGAATAATAGAGTTTATCCCCTCCAAAGTCTAGGTATAATTCAAGGAATACAAATGTAATCCTGTCATTATGAGTAGTAGGCTTCAGCTTCAGACATTCACCCGTAATTAAGCAGAATTATTCATAAAGGGCTGTAGCTGCAGTTAAGGCAGAGTTGGTCGCTCAGATTGTTAAACCGTTCAAACAGCAGGGACAACTCAGCCTTGGGCAACCGTCTCGCTGGACTTAATGTGGGTGAGTGATGTGACTCTGCCCATGTACGTTCAGTCTGCCTCCAAGAGTCGGATATTTGTCTTTCAGTTCCCCTGAATTCAGGAAGCAGGCAGGTTTAACACCTCTCTGCCCTTCTCCTCAGGCCATGATAGACGCCAATGCAGGCTGAGTGCAAAGCTCTCACATAGCTCTTATACACTCCATAAGCATGGGTGTATGGATAACAAAACAAGGGTCCAACTCCGATTCCTGACTCCTCTCTCAATGCTCCCTACTGCGCGTCACTCCCAGATGACAGCAGAAGCAAACAGCAAATCTCTTCCTTCTGTCAGCCAGCTCCTTGGCACAGCACCACCAGGCAAAACCAAGTACACTCTAGGAAAGGAAAAGTAGCTCATATTTAGACCGGACCATTAAATACTATATTCTAAAATATTACATTCTGATGTGTCTTCTGGTAGGGGAAGGAAGAGTGATATGAGATTTTTGCTGTTCTAAAAATACCTAACTGATAAAATCCAAGCAATGGTGAAGGTAGAAATCATACAAAAAGAAAGAATCTTAGTATTCAGCTAATAAACACCTCAGATTAGTTAAAACTAAAATAATTTAAAATCTCCAGTCTTAATCTGACAGTTTGTTCTGTTTGATTGCAATTTGCATTTTACTTCCCCTGAAGAGCATCACCAGCAATGTCATATTTCCCACTGTTCTTCAATAGCTTCATGTTGTGATTTCCAGGCTGTGCTAGAATAAATAGCGCAGCTTGGAAACTGAAGCAGCATGCAAGACTGATCATTTGCTCAAAACCAACAGTTTCCAAGTAAATGAATGGAATGTAATTGCATTTCAGCTTCAGCTTGAAAATGTAACCAGCATTAGGATGTAATCTTCCTGTTGAGTTTACATTCAATGGCACTTGCTTATTAGAGACTTTTCTGGGTCACCGCACTATTTGTATATGGATGGGAGTTCATGGACATGTAATCTGTAGTCCTGCATGGATCACTCCATTGGTATACTCTGACCTCTCATACAACAAAGGCATCCTCGTACTAATTTTAGGTATTCGTTTACCTCATCTTAAGTTTGCTCTATGCCCTTGGAGCCAAATCTATCACCATGTGCAAGGACTCCATAAGTCCTCATGACCCATGAGCTCTCTATAAAAAGCCAAGCCTGACCAGAAGAACTGAGTGCGTCAGGCTCAACAGCCACATCTGGGGTTTGGGCCAAAATATGCCAGTATTCTGATTTCTCCAGAAATAACCACTGGCAACAGAATATCCCCAGAAGCAGATTAAATCTTCTCTCACATCTATACTTGTTTCCATGGAAATATGCAGTGACAAGGTTTTTCCCCTCATGTTCTCTGCCAACCTACCACATTTTTTTTCAAACAGCCTTGGTAACTGAATAGGTTTTCCCAAATACGAGAGAGCTGTTCAGTCTGACCCCAAGAGAGCACCATGCAGCAACACTGCTTCCAGTCCTTAATACAGAGAGAGACAACTCTTTGCAAATCCTTTCAACTAGGGACCAGCAAAACCTTTTCATTACTCAAGACTAACTGGTTTTGATGAGACAGTAAACACCATACACTATGGTGTTAGCCAGTAAGACGAACACAAATAACAACTCACTGTCAGCACACTGGCCCTAGACTCCAGCTTTATATTAGAGTGAAGGATATAGTATTTGTAGTGCAAGTCTGTTCCCAGTGGCTGCGAAACATTTGGCTTCTGGCAGCAGCCCTCTGCACTGCCCCTCACCATATGTCACCATCCCCAGCTACCTCCTCATATCTCCTCTCTTCTCTGCTTCCCTGCTCTGTGCATCTGCCTGAGCCAGAAGCTCTATTTCCCTAGAGACTCACATGAAGTGGCTGAGACCCAGCCACAGATGACACATTAAGCAGAGCCTCTGGGCTGTGAGCAGTGGGGACGGTGCCTTGGCTTTGGGCAGTTACTATGAAGTCACTCAGGGTGCTGTTCCTTCATGCAGAGGAGCAGCCCGGATGGGGGCTGCAGAGCAGCACCTATGACGCAGGGGAGGAGGGAGGCCTTGCCTCCATCTCCCCAACAGGCAGCCTGTGGCAGCAGGAGAGCAAATGCCCATCCTGATGCCAGTGGAGGAAGGGAAAGCCAGGCAGTGCTAGGAGTGCAGGCAGAGAAGAAACACAGAGTGACAAAGATCAAAGTCAAAGATGTATAAAAGGAGGCAACAGTGAAATCTCACAGAGGAGAACTTTGGCTTTTGTCAGGTTGTTACAGTGACCTTGTGGCAGGCTAGGTTTTGGACCTTGGCCATCAGGCAAGCCCAGTGTGTAAAGTCTAATGGAACTTTGAATTCAGCGTTATCACTTAGCAGGCTGCATAGTCACTCATCTGGATGGGCTGCAGGACTGTAAATAAAGGATTATGGCATGTGACAAGTGGCTGTTCAGAGGGAAGGGACCAAGGGTATAATGGCAATGGGAATCAGTAAGACCGTAGATTGAGTGCCTCAATAAAGTTTTAAACTAGTGCTTAAAACCATCCAGCTGGCAGAAGAAGGTTGTGCTGGAGAGGCTCTGGTGTGTGCTGGGAGAGGTGCAGGAGCTGCATCTGGGCAGGGAAGGGACATGTTTGGGTAGATGCTTGGTGCCTGTACCCCAGCAGCAGCTAGGAAGAGAAGGACACTATGCCTAGGAGACACCAGCAAAAGCTATGTCAGAGGGCTCCTTACTCTCCTCTCCCCAAGGCTGTCACTTTCCCCCTATTCTCAGGGCTCAGGAAGGTGCAGGAATATTCTGGTTCAAAACCAGGAAGAGTCTAAACAAGAGAGAGTAGGCTGAGAGCTTGAGCAGCTAGGTCAGGATCCTCCCAACGACAGTGTAAACACAGCCTGAGACAGAGAGTAGAAAATGCAAATTAGACGAAGGCAGGATTCAACCTGAAAAACAAAAGCTATTTAGCAAGGAGTAATAACTCACTAACTAATGTTCCTCTTGGCAGAGGGGACAAGAGTTCTGGAAAGTCAAACTGTGTTGATCTAACCTTAAGAGAGCTAGAAAATTAGAGAAGGGGACACAAAGAGATTAGTTAGAGAGGAGAAAGGCAACACACAAGCACCAGGACTGTGCACACAGCTACCATGCCGAAGGCAGCACAGAGGGAAGTGCTGGGCAGGAGCCCACTGCTCTGTTCAGGGCTATGGCTACCATGAGAGCCTGACACACTGGGAGGAGATAAGAAAGGTGATAGCTCCTTGTGCAACTACAAAGCATTGATTTGTGATGACAGTATGAGTTCCTTGTCTCTGAGGAGATATGGAAACAGTTTACAAACATTTGTAAGGCATATGCCCAAGCAGGAGGGAGTGCAAATTACTTCCTAGAGAAGATAAAACAAAGAGTGGGAAAACCAAAGCAGAAAGTGACTTACAAGATTTTACCAATGAGCTGCAAAAGGATATGAAATAGCTCTCACAAGAACAGCAGGGAAGAATCCAGGTATGGGCAGTTTTAAATCTGGATGGGAAGAAAGTAATTAATACATGAGCAATGAAAGGTATACAGAAGAATTTGTTGAAGTGATAAAAATATTTCCACCTGCACAATCTGTACTCCCAATTTTCCACTGCCCTGCATTTCTTGCTATCATATAGCAGCAATTCAGAGCAGGAAAATGTTTACTAAAGCAGGAACATAACCTTATAGCACTGTTCCACCTGAGCACATAGATTTCTAGACACACTTAGCCGATAGAGAATTAGGTTTTATAATTGTGTCTGGAAAATGACTCAGTAGCAGTGATCCTCTTCAACTCACCCAGTCATATCCTCCTGCCCCATCCCAAATCTCCTTTACTCTTCGTGAGGTAGGGATATGATTCCATGTTTGGATAGTGTGTGTTAATGTCTTCTAAAGACATATCCAGCTGCTTCTAAAAATCTCCCGATTAATCCCTTTTTAATTGCATTTAATTGCCTCCTTATGAGGCTCCCAAAGACTCACAAGGAAACCTGAAAAGATCAAAGCCCAAATACAGTCCCAATGAAGGTTGAAATAGCCACCTGCTAAAAATTTGGAGAAGCTCACACCTTACATGGTATATATGCTTACCATTTTAGTATTTTCCACAAGGAGAGAGCACAGCCATGGCTACAGTGCTACAGCAAGTATGAATGGTTAGCCCCATCAGCCAGCAAGCTGGACTCTTCAGACAGCAGAGCTGTTCCCTAGATTGGGGATGTTTCATGGAACTAATTACCAAGCTTTATAACCGTCCCCTGCAGACTATCATGATGATGAATGAATGAGATCAGAATAGTCCATATGGTTTATTGTTGGAATTTGCCCACTCGCTGTAGATGCATCATTACTCTGTGCATTCATCAGCATGGGGATGAGCACAATTCAAAAAGTCTTTGCCCATACAATATGGGCAACAACCCACACAATCACAACCAACCTGCAGCTCTTCAGCTTTATCCCAAGAACTCCCCAGGCCTTTTTGGTGTCCTTCTGTTCCTCTGTATCCTTGTCCTGGGCCATCCTGCAAGTCCTTTGGTGAATGCCATATCCTTCCTTATTAAAGTAAAGCATAGTAAGCTGCACCTGTAGAAGTTAAACAAGAAATTGCTGAAAAACTTTGAATTCATAACACAGTGGCTAATGGTGCATTGACTACTCTTGTCCTCTGCCTGACAAAATCAGAGTTGCTCCACTATGTGGCACAGATGCTCTGCAGCTCCACAAGCAGCAATGATCCTCTTTTTACTGAATGATATTTCCAGAGCAGAGCATTTCTCAACTCCACTGAGGCTGTTAAGCCCAGGAACTGTGTAGAAACAGGGGATATTTCAAAGTAACTGCAAGCACCATGTTCAGAGTAGGTACCCCAAAAGGTGTACTGTATTGCCTGACACATCCCTGCATCAAGCAATACCTTGCATTAGCACAAAAGGGAATAGGGTTTCATGGATGGAAACTGCTTTGAGCTGAAATCTGAGAGCTGTACCATTCTTTTCCAGCTCTGGCGTGAATTCCCTAGGCGGTCCAAGGCAGGCACCTTCATCTCCCTGTGGCTCAGTTTGCCATCTGTAAAACTGGGTTAGCATCCCCTCCTCCTTCTTACACTGCTTTTATCCTTGTCTATATTAAAGGTAAATACAGACGGACTTGTTTGTCTGCGGGCACAGTGCAAAACGTAGGGCACGGCCGTGAAAGTGCCGCTCCTATGGGGAAGGTCTGCAGGGAAAGATGCGCGCTCGGAGGGGCAGGTGCAGAGCAGGACGCACGGATGCAGGGATGCGCACACGGGGAGGGGGGACGCCTGCAGGGAACTACACATGCGAGGCGGGCCGGGAGCTCGCCCGCCGCCCGAGCCAGCCCCACGCCGCGCCCACCGCAGCGCTGCCCCCGGCCCGGCCCGGCGCCGCCGCGGGGCTGCGGGGCGGGCTCCCCCCGCGCCCGCCTCCGCCCGCCCCCCGCGCGGGGCCGCAGCGGGCAGCGCGGGGCGCCGCAGCCTGCGGGCGGCCGTGCCCGCTGCCGCCGCCGCCCCGCAGGTGGGGGCGCCGCGCGGGGCCCGGGGTGCCATGGAGGAGCCGCCACAGCCGCCCGCCTGATCCCCGAGGCCGCCGGCACCGAGACAAAGCGCGGGGCTGCGGCCGCGCCCGCCCGGTGAGTGCCGCGGGGGGCCCGGGAGGGCGGGGGGCTCCGTCTCGCGCCGCGGGCATCGGGCCGGGGGAGGTCCCGGTCCCGCAGCCAGCCCTGCCTGACAGCCCCGAACATCCCCTTCCTCATTCACGCCCAGACACCTCCGTCCGCCGCTTCGCCGAACCCAGCGCCCCGCAAGCATCCTCGTTCATAGCCTGGCCACCCTCAGCCCAAACTGCCCTCCCGGCCCAGTGACGCTCCGTGCACCCCCAGCAGCCCTGCTCGTTGCCGAACGAGCCGGCGCCCACTGCCCAAACCTGCCGCAGGGGCTCTGAACGCCTCCCACGTCACCCCAAACACCCCCGTCACCCCAAACGCCCCCACGCACACCACTGTGCACAACCCGCGCGTCCTAAAGACTCCCCCATCACGCCCCCGTTCCCGAGCAGGCGCTCCCACCACCCCGCAGACCGCCCAAACAACAGCTCCCGCCCCGGACACTCCCCGCCACCGGACACTGCCCAGCAACGCCCAACACCTCCCGCAACCAGTCCCCTCCCTGCACAAACACAGCCCTGCCCAGCCACTCGCGGTGCAGACCCCGCCGCCCCCCGCCCCTGCACGGGAACACAAAGGGGTCCTCCCGCCCGCTCACCCGCCGCCGTTCTCTGCCCCGCAGGCCGAGCCATGGTGGAGCCGCCGGCCGAGCCTCCCCCGCAGCCCTGCCCGGCGCCCGGGGGGGCGGTGGGGGGAGAGCCGGCCCGTCCCGGAGAGCAGTCGCCGCTGCTGCACCTGGATCTGTACAACTTCGACTGCGCGGCGGCGGAGGGCAGCCGGTACGTGCTGACCAGCCCGCGGTCGCTGGAGGCCTGCGCCCGCTGCGCCGTGCGACCCGTGGAGCTGCTGCCGCGGGCGCTGGGGGACCTGCTGCGGGAGGCGCCCGGGCGCTCCATGCGGGTGGCCGCCGGCCTCTACGAGGCCTACGAACGGGAGCGCCGCCGCAAGCTGCAGCAGTGTCGGGAGGAGCGGGAGAGGATTATCCGGGAGGAGAAGAGGCGGATCCTCGCGCCCCTCGGCAGCCTGCCTCCCTCGCCCGCCGCCCGCGTCGCCTCCCGCGCTGCTGCCGCCGCCGCTGCTGCCGGCGGGCCCCGGACCCATGGCGGGGGCAAGGCCAGGGCGTCGAGGGGTGCCAAGGGCAAGAGCCACTCCCTGGACTCGCTGCAGAAGCGTCGTGAGGGCAGCTGGGGCAAGACCTCCTCGGAGTCGGGGGCCTCGTCCTCCTACAGCGGGGAGAGCTTGCGGGAACGGGGGGGCAAGGTGGGTGGCCGGGGCCGGGGGGCAGCTGCTGCCAATGGGTCCTTTCTGGGGCGCAGCTTCAGCCTGGGTGACCTCAGCCACTCACCACAGACTGCCCAGAGGGTCGAGAGGATCGTCAGGGAGGTGAAGAGGAAGAAGGGCCTCTCGGAGGTACCTGAGAGGGACAAGAAGATTGCGGCACTGATGATTGCCAAGCACCAGGAGGCCAACATCCTGCGGGAGCAGCGGCAGGTGGCCCATCTTCAGTGGGACAGCCAGCGGCGCCTGGCTGAGCAGCGTAAGGAGCAGGAGGAGAAGGAGAAGCAGAGGGCCCTCCTGCAGGGTCAGCGGATGTGGGAGAGCCAGGTGGAGAAGCGTCGTGGGAGGCTGAACCAGGAGCAGGAGGAAGCTGCCCTGATGAAGCAGAGACAGCGCCTCATGTGTGAGGAGAGGTGGCGAGAGCAAGCGGAGAAGCAGGAGCGGCTGCGGAGGGAGAGGCTGGAGAGGGCCATCCAGGAGGACAAGCAGAAGAAGCTCCATCAAGAGCTCAACCTGAAGGCAAAGGAGGAGGTCAAGAAGGAGCACCAGGAGCGAGAGGAGCAGCTCCTGCAAGAGAAGCTGTCCATGGCTGCACAGAAGAGGCTGAAGAAGGAGGTGCAGCTGCAGAAGGAGAAGAGACTGTTTAACCAAGCAGAGAAGCTGAAGCACGAGGCCTTGCTCAAGGAATTGGCCAAGCAAGAGGCAGAAGAGAAGGAAATGCTGAAGGCCTCCCTGAAGATGAGTTTGACAAAGGCTCAGGAGAACTATGAGCAGCTAGTGGAGAAGAGAAACCAGGAGCTGAGGGAGAAGGCCAGGCGTGAGGACATGCAGATCCAGAGAGCTAAACTGGCAGCAGAGAAGAAGGAAAGAGAGCAGAAGGAGCACTTGGAGGCACTGGCTAGAGAAACAGAGAGAAAGCTCCAGCATGCTGCCCAGGTGGCCGAAGAGGCTGTTCAAGAGAAAGCCCGCAAGGTGGTCTTGAGTCGTCTGGAGAAGGAAAAAGTGCAGAAGATGAACAAGCAAAAGGTGGAACAGTATGAAGACTTACGGCGCAGGGAAATCCTCCTCTCTATAGAGAAGAAGCTGGAGAGAAGCGAGCAGATCTTCAAGGAGAAGAAGACTGTCTTAGAAAATGCCAGGTCTGTCGCTCGGGCGTCCTTCCACGTCCGGGAAAAAGTACGGGAGGAAACAAACATGCGCACCTTTGACAAGATGGCCTTTGAAGCAGAACTGCATGCTCACCTTAACAAGAAATGAAAGATCTTGTCATGGATAAGTGGGGATGCACCACCGGTTGTCCATCATAATGCATAGAAAGCTCCTCCACATGAACATTTGAAAAACAACAACAACTAACATCCACCCTAATTTCTTATTCTGGAGGAGCAGGGTACCGCACAAAAATGTGGCAGCTATTTCACATACTGTTTTAAATACATTTTTTGTTCTGGGTGTGTTTTAAGGACTGACCTCAGTCATCTTTCCAGAGGGGAAGCAAGTTTTTGTGCCCTCCACCCCACGAGCACACACATTTTTTCAGAGAGGGCTGCAGAAGAAGTCTGCTTGAAGCCTGTGAGTACTGATGGGTTGTTTACAGCAGAGATGACTACAGCTGGTCTCTTCAGTTTGCAATGCAGACAACAGAGCCTACTGAGTAAGAACCAAAACCATCTGAGCTGATTCTGCCTTGAGTGACAGTTTGGTTTAAGTTATGGGACTGCATTTTCCAAGCTGCTGCACTCCCATGCTGAAGATGACGAAGGCTGGAGTACAGAATTCCATATGCCCTGCGTGCCCCTTGTCTGCTGCTGGTACCAAGTTAGAGAAAGCACAGATCAAGGCCATGTAAGTAGACATTATGATCAGAGCTGGGCAGAGCCTGTTAGTGCTCACAGACAGTTTCGCTTTTGCTGTTTGTAACTGTTGCCCCTCCCAACTATCCTCAGCTCTCCTCTTCCTTTTCAAGTTTCTCTTGGAAACATCTGTAGAATTTCTTCTTTTCTTTTGGAAGAGGGGGAAAAGGAGAGAAATCTGTGGGCAAGTCACAAACTGATGGGCAACTCACACAGCACAATTGTTCATTGTAGTGTAAAAATGAGTGAACCTGTGGAATCTGGACTTTGGGGAAATGTGAGGGTCAATTGTAAATGGAACTCTGCAAGCAGATTGCATAGAAAAATCACCCTTGGGAATTCTTAAAATTCAAGGGGACTCTCAGCTCCTCAGCCAACTGGGCCTGCCGTGAGCACAAGGTTGGACCAGATGTCCTCTAGAGTCCCATTCCAATGTATTGGTTCTATGAGCTGCATACAATGAGACTTTCACCCAGCTCTTATCATTGTCTACTGAACAGAGGAGCATTTCTCTGTCCACTGGTGCTAACAGTTGTCTTCTCATATAGGGCACAAGAAAGAGTAGATGCAGAAAATGAGGTACATTACAGATTCTTTTAGATGAGGATCATGTCTTTTTTATAACTCATAATACTGTTTTGAGGAACTGAGTCCTTCTGCCATTAAATGCACTGGAAATGTGAAAAGCCTACCTATACCCTGTGCAGAGTGTTCAAGTAAGACAGTGTTTCAAGCTGCAGGTTTCCACATTTACTCTGTTGGGTTGGAGTTACAAGCACAAATTCAAAGCAGGCACTTTCTGCTGGTTTTTTTCTGGCTCCTGGCAGCATCAGCTCTATGTTCTACCATCCGTGACGCCGTGCTGGGTTGCTCTGGTGATGGCAGCCAGACCTGGAGGAGAAGCAGCAAGAAAAGACAGGATCTTACATACCGTACAGTGGAAGAGAAAACCAGGAGAAGGTTGACATGTGGAACAGACATGCAGTCCCGCATGCATGGATTGCTTACCAGAATTTCCCAGAAGGTGACAGCAGGTCAAAACCCTCTTAGAAGACTTTAAGGATGGTGTTAAATGAACAGCAACAACAACAATAGACCAAGCACACCCTGGTGCCCTGCAAGGCTGGAGACATTATACAAACAGTGTTGAAAACTGGAGCAAGTAGGGATTTATTTTTCTTTAGTTTAATCAAGCTTGTTCTTCTTTGAATCATGGTGTTAATTGGAGGTGTTAAGGGCAGGCAGCATGAAAGTAGGAATTAGGGCACCTGAGTGATGTTTGCTTTGTCAGCCATTGGCTCATTGTGTAACACCAGGCAAGTCCTCAGGGGCTGGGACTTGCAGGAAATAGTAACACTTGGCTTGGAAAAGCACTTCAAAAACTTTGGACAACTGATGCTAACAAAGCGCAAAGATTTATTTATTTATTTATTTAGCTATTTATTTATTTATTTGAGTGGTTCCTAAAGTAAAACATCCCTTGGTGAAAAGCACTGATTAACACCAAAATCTGGTAGCTGTGGAAAGGACAGCTGCATTACTGTTCCCAGCAAGGAGTCTGTCCCCTCATCCTCAAAGCAGCAGTTTGAACAGTGAAACAAATCCTGTTGTAACACTGGACAAGGTCCTTGAAAAAAACCAGTCTTCTCCACATGTTGTTCATATTGCAGTGATCTATGTGTGCCCTTGTAGCTGCAAAGACCTAGAAAAGAGATGGCCAGTGGCCCAAATCTAGCCAGCACATTTCCCTTGCTCCCTGGCAGCACTAGAGTTGGGATAAAACCTGCAGTGACTTCAGCACAAGCCCCTGTTTCATCTGATTAGAAGCCTTTGGGGATGCAGAAAGGGCCCGCCAATACAGATGTGAGAGCTATTGCTTTCCTGTGTCATTGCACTGTGGTTGAAATTCACTGCTTGGTCTGTTCAGAAGGAAAATAGGGAAAGCTAGGAAACAGTAGAGAGAAGGCAAAATGTGGTGGGCAAATGAGCAGACAGCCTCTAATTGGAACAGCATTTTCCCCCTAAAGGTCTACTCCAATCTACCTGAAGACTTTGTCCAAACCTCCCTCTGACAGGGCATTTCCAGTGCAGACTGAGAACCTTCTGTATCCTAGGAGACATGTCTTGGCCACTGACTGTAATTACACCTAGGGTCAATCTCCTGCTGCTGACTGAGTTTGACACCTTGGGGCCACAGCCGAACTAATCAAAACAAACCTACATGATGGTAATTGGACTGGCAAACTACTGTTCCTCTACTGTGCAGTGTACAGTTCGAGTTTTGAATGTGCAGTCTAAGAAAAAATATTTTTTTTCAAAAGACATTAATCTGTGTATGGATATTTTTTATTTCTCTACTGGTTTCCGTTCAAAGTCTGTGAAATTCGCTGGAGTTCATGAGTTTAAAATTGCAGCACGGAAAATGTAAGTCAGCAATTTGGGTGGAAGCATGAGAGGTTATTTCTTGGGTCTGCTTATGCTTCCATTTATTTAAGAAGGAGTTTTACTGCTTGATTTCTGTAGGAACAGAAATTAAATCCTGGGACACATGTAAAAAGTATGGCCCTTTTAGATGAGGATTGTTTGGTATTTTTGCTATTGAGCTGCAGGCTAAGGAGTACTAAAAGCAACCAACATGTTATCTAATAGCTCAGAAGTAGATTGTGGCTTATTTAGAGCAGAGAAGCAGCTGATGCCATTTGTTACGGTCCTGCAGAAAGCTAACTTAGTTGGGTCCTCTCCTGGGATTAGAAAACACATTTTAGGCTACCGTGGTATTATAATCATAAGGTTATAATAAAGACTTTGCTTCTAAGCCATTTGCCTGCATGCCACATAATGACCACTAAGCCTTGAAATACCTGCACTTAAAAAGCAACAACAAAAGGACAGTTACCAGGAAACTTCTGTGACTGGTAACATATCTTAGATCCAGCTAGCAGCACATTCCTAGTTTTCAATTCCTAAGCAGTTGGGAGTCTAGCTGTAGTTTCAGGTTGGATCCCATAGATTTAACGGGACAACCCCAAATCTGAAGCTAGTGCCACTAAACATTCAGTTCTAATGCCAAACACTGACACGTGGATGCAGCTCTAACACAGTTGAAAACCACTGCACTGCTTACTGCTGCTCATTGACTAGGACTACTGCTTGAAGCTGACCTGCTAGAAACCACTCAGAGTGTTTACAGGGTTTCTGAAGCTGAGATCTTAAAGCACAGGGGAAAAGAAAGACTCCAATATCATTTAAATATTCTAAAAAGAATAACAGGACCAAGTCCTTGGATTCTTTGGCAGGCAAAACTCCTGTCATTTTATACTAATGTTTTGTAGTGAGACAACATGATCGAGCGCACAGTATCAGAAAAGAAAAGTCTGTCACGCTGATGACTACAGCAGAATAGGCACATTATTTCAGAGGCCTCAGAACAGTGCAGTCTGGTTTCCTTGGGCAGCTGCCCCGTGAGTCTCACTTTAGTGAAACCGTGGATGCAGGATGAATTTGTCTTGTATTACACATCAGAGAACTCACAGATGAGGGAGAAGCATTGGCTAAAGAGCTCTTTTACCTGAGCTCTAGATGAGTTTTGGAACACCATGGAGCGCATTTTGCATGTTCACAAACTATCCTGTTTTTGTGGGTTGTCTACTTTTTAACTGCATCTGGGCTAAAACTGGAGCCTTTCAGTGGCATAGAGAGTGCCAACAGTCTCATCTGCATGCTTCCTCTTCACACAAAATTCATCACTAAAACATGATCTCTCTGTCAAGGTTGAATTTTGCAGATACGTTCAAAAGCTATTAGGAGGAGCAGCTGCACCACCACTAGTTAATATTTTACAAGGTAATTTTTAAGCCAGTTCATAATAAGTTCTTTCACCACATACATAAGAGGGGTGTGAGGATTAGATTTCTCGCCTTGGTTACCTACTGTGTTTCTCCTATGATGCTTACAGAGCTCCAGGCTCATTCTGTGCTAAAATTTCACTTGATGCCTGGGGATTTCTGTTCACTAAACAAATGCTGAATATGCAGTGCACACAGGTTTGGAAGGGGACTTAGTTTGGTGTGCATGTCTTTATTGAGCCAAACCTGGACAGGGAGGCATGGGAGGAGACACAGAATTTGCAATACGAATTCCATCAACCACTAGTTTTCTAAAAGTTCAGTTAAGAGCAGCCCCAGAGCCACCTCTGCTAGCTCTGATCTGGGAAGTGACACCCTTTGCTCTCTTAGTGACCTCAGAGAGAGCCAGGCTGATCATATCCTACCTGAGGACAGCTCATCGCTTCAGTTGTTACATTAAAGATTTGCTTTCAGCTGTGGGTATTCTTCCTCTGCTGGTAAAGACAAAACTGTAGTAGTTGAAATGCCATTTTAAAAGCGGTTTTGTTTTGAGGGGGTTTTGTTTGGCTTTTTGTTGGTTTTTTGTTTGTTTGTTTTTGTTGGGAGTTTTTGTTTTAAAGCAGATGCAGGGAGATGTAAGGATGAGACACAAAGCTGGTTAGATGCAGTACATTAAAGATGATGACTGTGACTGTCTTCACACAAAGTTCTGCTTTGTGGACCTGGGACTATGCCGTTGTTTAGTACAGCAGCAACCACATCCAGGAGGGCAGAGGTGCTCTGGGAGGTGCTCTGTGATTTGTTCACAGATCACACAGGATCCCTTCAAAGCATGCAAATGTAAACTCCAATGCTTTGCTGTGCCAAGGTCCTAGGGAATTTAGTTTGTTAGGATTGGACTTAGCTTTCATAGTTGTAAATGAAGGCTGTCATGGGCAAAGAAGAGGAAGACACTGGTTTAGCCCAGTCCCTCTGGAAATCAGCCCTGTGACATTTACTTTGCAGTGCAATACAGGCATATTCTAGTGTGAACCAATGGAGCCCTAATACAACTACTTTGGGAGTGCAGCCCCACAAGTCTTTGGCAAGCAAGTGGCACCCCTGTAAAGAGCCAGTACTGAGACATCGTGAGAAAATCATAATGCTTCTTCCTTCTAGGCAGGCGGCAGCTCTGCCCTTCTTTTTGGTGAGATATTACTAGGTGATGTTTTGAAGAGAAAACACTGGGGAGAAGAAAAAATTGCAAAACTGTTCCACACAAGACACCTGGAAACACATTTTCTATTTATGGAGAGCAACCAGCACTCTGGGGATGCCAGTCTCCAGAGCCTTCATAATGGAATAGGCCCAACATCCCACATGCCTCTTAAAGCTACAGTGTGAAAAAAATTAGGTTCTAGGTCTGACTTCTTCGTCCTTAGACTGTTCTTCGAGCATGGGTCTTTGCTGGAGGCTCATGAGCTGTTATCATAAGATTCTAGTCTGAAAAGACCCAAGGCATTCTCTGGCAACTTTGCACTCATCTCCTAAGTCCCTGCCATTCAGCAAGAAATCCTCTGCATTACCAGAACCACTCTGGCAGTAAGAATTATCCTGTAGTACAAACCAAAACTGCCAGTGCTATTTTGTTCTTATGTGATTTACCCAGCTCCTTGCATGCAATCTCAGGACCTGGCTGTGAGGTAAACTAGTTATTGCCCCCAGCCTAAGTACAAGCAAACTGAAGCAGAACTGATGTGATTTGCCTTGGGCCATGCTGGCCTCTCTGATCTAGCTGAAGCTCTCATTCAAGTCCTCCCTAATCCCCATGCAGCCCTCTAATTAACCTGTCCTGGTTGCAATGGAGGGATATCCCTGTGCCCCTGCCGTGGCAGCTCCTCTGCCTCCTTCTTTGCAGCTGGTGCTTCATGGAGGATGAAGGTTTTAAGCCATCAGCTGCCACTCCTGGGCATTGCCCCCAAAACTTGAAACACTTCTAAATGGGGGCCTGAAGGTGAGATAGGGCTGCACTGGGAGCCTGTGACAGAGGCACAGTAAGAAGAAGATATGTCAGCTGAAATGGGCAGGAACTACAGATGGAAATATTAAATGAAAGAGTACTCATGGACTGAGTGTCCTTATACCATCCTGGCTAGCTAGAATCACTTCTATCTCTAAGTATGACAGCATACAATAACACTTTCTTTCAGCACATTAAACTGACAGGGCCCAGTTCATCCCATTAGTTACCTCTCTTGGGCCAGCAGAGTTGTTCCAGGAACGAATACAACCTTTTATCATTTATGCAAATCACAGCGGCTTGGGATAGCTTATGCTTCCAAGAGCTTGGAGGAAATTTCCCCCTGCCTGAACAATACCCAGGCAATGGGATGGGAGTCACATAACAGTCGGTATTTTTAGACTGGGTGACAAATTTGTCAATACCCTGGTGCTGGTCGCTGTGTTCCTGGGTGTTTACAAAACAATGTCTGCTTTAGCAGCTCAGTGCAGCTGAGGGGAAGAACAGCTGGCGCAGAAGTATCTTGTCAGACAGCAAGCTAAACAGTGGGGAGTAAGAGATTTGGCTCTGTGTCTGTTGGGTGCTACTGGGAATGTTTTGGTTTGTAAGAGGGTGATGGAATAATTTCTTCTCTTTTTTAATCACCTTCAAAATAGGCTGTGCTATTTTTGACAATTATTTAATGATTTATAAGAGATGGGAAAATAAATGAGGAAGGGAGCTCAAAACACAAATGTGTAGGTAAGGCAGAAAGACATTTTCCTTTCCCTCCTGAAAAAAACCTGTGAGCATTGTGCCAGCAGGTGAGAGTTTTGTTAAATGCCAAGTTGCATGCAATTTCTTAGACCCTAGGAGGGTGAGCACTCTGTTCACAAACTTTTCTACCTGTGCACCTGTCTCCTGTACATGCTGACAAGACAGGCTTTACGTTTACCTCCCAGTAACAGTTATTTCTCTGGATTTCAAGGAATAGGTGAGATCCATGACCAGAAAGAAACTAGTTTCACTGTAGAGGGACCACTGCACAGCCATCCTGGGTGGACTCACTCCACATCTGACATGAACCCTGATGGTAGAGTGATACTTTGCTGTCATCAAATTTTAGCAACCCTCAGCCAGACACAGTTTGGGAGCCTCTGCACCATTTTCAGCTCCCACCTGATTCAAGCTGCCCTTGTTTCCTAGCCAGTTTAATCCTGAGGCTCCTGCTCCCATTGCCTGCAGCAAGGTACCTGGGGAGCTGACCACAGGGTACAGCCAAGTCTCCACTTATCTGTAGAGGCTTCAACCAAACTAATTTGCCTTTCTCTTCCTTAAACTGGGGCATGTCTGTGCATGAGCGACTACAGGAACTGTCTGAATCTGGGCTTTGAGTGGTGTAGATTGAACGTCTAGAGAAGGACTTGGGTGTTGCAGCACAGCAAAGGGATGCTACTGCTTTATTTTTGATTATCAATACCACTGCTAATTTGCTTCCCCTGCATTGCTTTCTCAGACAGTGTACCATGAACAGGTCGAGCACTAGCAGCCCCAGAAGTGCTAAAGTGTTGCCTTCCACACTTAGACCAATGCTTGGCATGGGAAGCAGGTGTCCCTTCTTACATGAGAGGGAAGCTTCCCTTCTTATCATGCACAGATGCTTTGGGGACAGGCTGGCATCCTAAGATACATCCATCCTATTACCACCATCACCAGTTTCTCCTTATGATCTGAATTCTACCAGTAAATTCATAATTAGCTTATATAGGCCTGCATGACCTGTCATGACAGGAATTTTAGATATAATGCAACATCTGAGTCATGACATTGCTTTTTCTGCTATTAGTTTCACCTGCTGCTGCTCAGCAGGAAGTAAAGCAAGGGAGGATTGTTTCAATAAACCAGAGGTGACCTGCCTGCTTTCAGAAAATGCTAGGCAGGTAGGCAAGCTAAGACCTTCAGGGCTTTATGCAACAGTAGAGCACCTGACATCGTAGGTTAGCTGTAGGTACACTACATATCACTTTGCACGGTAGCTGTCACTCCAGCTTACATCTCTTGGATGCTGTGAGTCCTAATATCTTCCAGGAAGAAGGCACTCTGTCTTGTAACAGAAGTTTTCTCTGATTCCTACAGTATTTCAAAGAACCTGCACGTATCTGTTTGCAGAATCAGATACTTTAATACCTTTTATTTATGGTTCCATCAAAAAATCATAGAAGTAGAGATTTCTGAAGGCAATGATGTTCACACCCAGAGCTGCTGTACTCTCTGAGTGTCTCTGATCAGACTACACTGTGCTACTCTAGAGATTTCTTGCAAGTCCTGCAGTCTCAGGGAACCTGCAGATCCCTTCCTGCAAAGACACTGTAGTATAATGCAGATGCCACGTGATTCAGTCACAGCCTGCAAGTCCCCAAATGCACAGAAAACTTGCTGTAAGCTACCAGGAGAATTTCTGCAGAGTCTCCTGGAATCCACAGGGGCCATTCCTGTCTGTCCTGATGCCACTGCTGTATAAACTCTAATGCTGTACAGTACCTGCTGACCTAATAATACTGTCTGAGTCCTCTCCATGACAACACACCACAATGTCCTCAGGTACAGGGAGGCATCCTGCAATCAGGCAAGGCTGGCCACAGAATCCATGTATCAGATGTATAGAGTATAATTTAAGCATAAGTATTTTCTGTTGGGAAGTTGGAGGTACAAATGCAAAGGGGCAGAATTACTCCCCAGAGGAAAGGAAATAATTGCTGAATGTGAATGAGAAGAAAGAAATGACAAAATGAGACCATTAAATAACCTTAAAATCATAAAAGACCTAGTTTACAGGTTTCGTGTAACAGATGTACATGGCCAAACAGCTTCACACATTTTGGATACCCTCAGGGAATGAAGAATGGTGGGAAGTACTGAAGACCTCAGGTAAGAAAGGAAGAGTCTTTTCCAACAAGGGTTGGGGTTGGCTGGAGTGGAGAATTGTAGAAAAGCTGTTCAAGACATCTCCAACTATGATGGCACTACAGCAAAGAAACATAGTCCAGTTCTCTTTAGGGAACTGGATTGATGGCTGGTGGTGTTGCACAAAGACAATACAGGGCTTTATTTGTAAGCAACCATTTCGATTCAGTCACCAGACCACGGGACTGGGTTTGTGCCTGTTAAGATCAATTGCCCAAAGGCAAACACATGGTGACAATTAGCACATTCCTGCATCCAACAGAGGTGACACCACAGCCAGAGGAAAACTGAGCCTGGGGCTATTTCCAGAGAGGACAGAGACCTTCTGAAAGGGAAAAGCCAGATTAAAGGCAAATCATAATCCTTAACCATTCAGTGACAGCCTGGGAAGAAAGGATTGCTCAAAAAAAAAACAAGGGTCCTCTCTCAAGAAAGATAGTGTTTCCACGGCTGGCAAGCTGGTTGTGGGCTCATGTCCTCATCTTCTCCTTCTCTGGCAGGAGCAAGAGACAGAATTTCATCAAAAAGAGAGGGAAAGAATTCTATCTGGGAGGATGAAACCTCTTAGGTCAGACCTTGTCAGTCAAAGCTCTTCACTCTGATTTCACCTGCAGACAGGACCCTAAACATCCCTGGGAGACTGGGCTTCAACACTCAACTTGTGCAACCTGAAATCTGGTCATGCATCCATGCTCTGATGTGTTTGCTGCACTTGCTTGGACATTAAGGCAGGTTTGTGGGGCTTTCCAGCATGCCAGCTGCATGCTTCACAGCCATATCCCTGCCACAACTTTGAAGCAGCAGAGGAAAGATTGTATCTCATTCTTCCCCAGTTCAGAGCAGGATTACAGTTGCTTATTCAGAGTCCCTTCCCCCATTGACAGAGTGGAGGAAAAATAATTATAAACCTTCTTTTTATATATGCCAGCTAGCAGACAGGATCAATACGCAAAGGGACTCCCTGATTTCTGACATGCCTAAGCCCTCAGACAACTGTGGGGTTTTTGCACCATATGGCTCTATCACTTGATAAAATAGTGCCCTAGATATACTGGATGTTTTCCAGTCTGCCACCAAATGAACTTAGGAGGATGGGCACATACAGCCACAGTTTCTGTAGTGTTGTCACCGTTTCTGAGGTCTCCAGACCTATCACAAGCCGCTGTATTTTTGCAGCCCCTCCTGCCCCCCCCTCTCCCGGGACCAGCTACCAAAGGGATTAAACACGGCATGCTATCTACTGCAGTGGCTTAATCACTAAGCAAAGCACTCATCCCCTGACCACAAGGTCAAGGAATTATCTTCCTGACAGATAATGCAGCCAGGGCTTGGAACAAAATGAGGAGCTGAACTGTCATTGCAAGCCCACAGGCCACAGCTTTATTGCTGTTTCCAGGGGGAGTAATGCTGCTAAGATGCTATAAAAGTGTAGTGTGACTTTTTCCACATGCTCCAAGATGCCTCTTGGTGGCAGAGGAAGATAAACGCAGGAAAAATAGTATTCAATTTTGTGTACACACATGCCCTTCCCATAAACACCCCCTCTGCCAAACCTGTCCCTCTGAGAGCAAAAGGTTTTGATGGTTGGATGTATTTGGCACTGTGTACTAAAGAGATTGTGAATAACTAACTGAGCACTAAGCCAGGGCCAAAAGAGAATTGACCTCGGGGGAAATATATTTATCCAGAAGTATGGTTTCAGAAGGCATAGATCCCATGCTTCAGTTTCAGCAGAAGATGGGAAGTCCCGTTCCCACATAAGCCAGCCTGCTGGGGCAGAGCTGAAAGGACCACCAGTCCCACAGCTCATTGCACAGCTGCCAGAGGGCAACTCAAGCCAATGGGGGAAAAACTCTTCATTTGAGATTTAAATACAAAGAGTCCAGATCAGTTGCCACTATAAGAGTGAGGAAAACGAGAGCTATGAAACCAGGTCCTTACGAGGGACTAGCACAGGGCATCAGCTCCCGCAGCTGTGCTGTGGGCACATCGAGACCCTCTGCACACAGCCAGGACGAATGAGCCACGATCTCTTGCCTGGTGGCGGCTGGAGATCGGTCCCTTTTCATAGAAGGGGAAGGCATAAGCTGAGGTTACAGGAAAAGACTGCGAAGGTGAGGCTCTCTACCCAAAGCTGGCCAATACAAATAGCTTACAGCTCTCCAGGTGACTCCTTCGCAGTCACATATATAGCAGTAACTGCAGAGGAGGAATCCTCACCTCTCTGCTTTAATCAAGAGGCAAGGTCCCTAAGATTCTGGTTGAAATTACACACATGCTAAATCTTTCTTGTGCCTTTCAAAAGCAGCTAAACAATCAAATGACATTTTCTCACCTCCCTCAGCGAATCTCGACTTCTGCAGTCCAGCTGCTCCCTAAAGGCCATAGCTGTTATCGTTTGTCTGTGAAGAGACCTTGCCAAGTCTCTGTTCCTTACCTGGGGACAGCAAGGGTTACACTGTAGCCAGAGGCGCTGCTCTCCTCCATCTTTCCAGAAAGAGATGCTTCCGGCAGCACTGGTGTGGGATGCGAGAGAATAGCTCCCGTCTCAAAGCAAAAGATTAACCCTGAGCCTGCTTAGCAAATTCCACTGTTCTTCAGCTATAAATAAAAAATAAAATGTTTTTATTACTTTCAGATTGAAACAGGAAGGGTCTGATCATCTTTGAGATCTCTATCTCTATTAAGCTTGGTGGACAGAGGTCACAACTGTGGGGAGATGGGAGAGAGTGAACAACTGCCAACACCTCATTTTTGTAGGAAAACAAGATAGATGGACAGATTGTAGTTGAAGCTTTTTGAGCTGAGTGCATTGCATCTGAAGAGCGTGTGTCCCCCAAAGAAGGACTCACTGAGGTTATGTGTGTGCTGTTCATTCTCCTGGGGCAGGGCACAAACATCAGTGCCCTTTCCATACACCCACCTCCAACCTAACAGCTAAGGCACAGCAGAGACACCGGCAGGACTGGCAGGTGGAGTAAGGAACCTGCCTGCCCTGCAAGGGGCCTGGATGAGCTAGCTGCATATAAGGGTCCTTTTTCCCCAGCTCTTATCTTAGGTGAAGGAGACAAAACCCCACAGTGCTCCAAGTGGAAAACAGAGCACTAATAAAGCTTTAGATTTTCCACTCGACTGCTGCTCTTCAACTCCCCTCCCTTTTCCACCTGCATTTCTGTTGCCTTTGGGGAAATCTGACATTATGTGTCTTTCTATATTCTTAATTAGGAAAAAAAATTCCCTCCCTCCATTAAGTGACTCTCAAGAACAAAGATGGGGGAACATACATTGAGAACTGTTTGCCTTACAGTCTGCCAGGGGCCCTCTCCCCAGTGTCCCTCCCATGGCCACTGTCCCTGCAGCTCCAAGATCTGCAGCCACCACAACCCAAGTCTCAGTGTCACTTCGTCCATAGCAGAAAGCTGGATAACCCCTTCACAAAAACCATATCTCTGCTCTAGAGCACATATAGGAAAGGACTCCTTTTAACCACGTGGAAATCAAGCACTGCTCTACCTGTCCTGTATGTGTTTCTCTCCATAGGGATATGGCTGTGGGTTGCACCCCAAAACTTGTTCTGGCCAAGCTGTAGGCTGCTCCTCAAGAAGGCAAATAGCTACACAAGTTCACCAGGTCAACTGGGGGATGGCATGAGCTCCCTTCTCTTCCCACAGAGCTCTAGTTACTAATCTTCCCATTTCACAGAGCTTCACCTCCTCCCTACAAGTAGACTTTATTCATGAGTTCTCTACATTTCTACTATGCTCTAGATGACAGCATGGCCACCAAGAACAGAATCATCTCTTACAGAGGATACACTGTCCCTCAGCCTCCAAAGGCTACAGCAACTAGCCTGGATAACAATTCATCTTCCCAAAAAGTTGTCCATATATGTTTAGATACAAACAGCTCTTGGAAAATGTATATAATTAAATATAGTCCCTCCAGCAGGGAGTGTAAGAACCTGGACCAGCCACTACTTTCCTTCTTTTCCCTGTTAATAGTGCTAGCTCCATGAAAAATGGTGTGGCCTCAAGATTCTTCTTGCTGTGTGAGACAGGCTCCCTCCCACCAAGCACCCTGATTCCTCTCCTTCCCCTCGCTCTGGTGCTGCCAGCTGTGTTTGCCAGGTTTCCCTTGGGAACTCCTCTGCCTTCCAGCTCTCCGTGCATAGCCAAGCCATAGAGGCGTGCCAGCCCACGTGCTCCCCAGCCAGCTGCTGCTCCTGAATACCTCCTGGAGGGTCTGTGCTGGGGTGTGTGTAGGTCCAGGCAGCACTCAACACAGGTGGGGAAATCCCTCGTAAGTGCCAGAGATGACATGCTACAGATCTTTTCCCAAGCCTTTTTTGCCATAGATTATGAATGACACTAAAATTCACCCAATGGTAAGCAAGTGAAATGTCTGTGGCGGGCAGGAGAAGAGATTAGAGACTGTAGTGGTCTTTTGAATAAATCTCTGAAGATTAAGGAGAAAGCAGATTCCATAAAGTAAAATCTGATTTGTGTTTGGCACAGCTGTCCATCCAAAGATAAGTATCCACATCCAACTTCTGTATAATTCACATTTCTCCACATGCAGTCTCCAGAAAGTGAACTGAAGTCATGGCTTTACTACTATAATTAGAATCCATAATGTAGCAGGATGGGGTATCAGGGCTGTGGGGATGGCAAATAGCGACCCATTTCTCCTTAGAAAGGAGGCAGGATTCATTTCATGTTACTTCAGGAACTCACACCTTACCACAGCAAACATCACACAGACAGGCAACGAAAAAGCAGAATATAGTCCTGCCTGTCCTACTGTCTCTTGACCTTATACAACACAGCTGCCTTCTTCCATAATTGATGTCTCCTACTGCAGAAGCAGCCACAGCTTCTGATTCTCCGGCTATCCTATTACAGCAGTACTAAGTGCAAGCCAGTTATTCTGCAAAACAATTCAAATTAATTCAGTGCCTTAAAACAGGAAATCTTTCCTTATAACACCACCTCTTCTTTGCTGCACTGCAGCTACAAGAACTCAACAGTTCTGTCCCTCCACCTTCCCCATGAGCCCACTGTCTTGGGCACACACACCACCGCCTCCAAGGAAACCGTGTCTTGTTTTCTTTTCAGTGACATTCAGAGGTACTTAAAACATCCCTGATGCATGCAAGGGGAATGCTTTTCCAGGGCTCTTAGGATACTTAGTTGCAGTTTGTTAAATCATGTGGATAAGAAAATGTTGAGGAAATTTCTGGCACACCAGCTGTCTGACCTGACTTATTTACGTGATGCTAGAGCTAGGAAATGCACTAGTTTTATAGCCCTTGTGATCTGAGACTGTCTATCCAGAGAAAGGCAGCAGCAAGGAAAAGGGCACATCAGGCTCCCTATGTGCTGGCTTCAAAACCCGTGTCAACCCCAAGCCTCGTGCCCCAGACCCTGTTCTGGGACAGGCTGCTTGCCCCTTTCTCCAGCATTGCTCTGCACGTTGGAGCTGTGTGCCTGGCTGTGATGGCAGGGAGCTGCCACCACCAGTGACCTTCATGCAGGGCAGCTGGAAAAATGCTCAGCTGTCTGTCTTAAGCAGGTTGCTGAAAGACTTGGAAAAGCTGAGGCCACAGGTGACCTGGCTGCTGCAAGGTAAAGGCACAGAAGCGTCCCTAATGCAGGATTAACAGGCTGTTGTCCTTACCAGGGCTGTTTGCCCACACATGGCTTTCTCTGTAAGTCTGGCAATGGCAGCTACAGTAGAGAGAGACAGCCTTCAGGGTCACCTTTAGTTACAAAGCACACCAAGCTTCATCTGAGGGTAAAACTTTCCAGTCTTCTCTCCGCCTATAAGGAAAAATCAGAAATTACTTTTGGACAAATTATTTTCGGGCAAATTATTTTCAGGGAAAACAAGAAAAATAAAAAGAAAAGCCTCACTATGAAGTATTTCTTTAGATAGATGACATATGTTTGAGATACGCATTTCATACGCCTCTTCAGTGTGTGTGTATCTATGTAAGCACTCATGTGCACATATATATGTGTATGTATGGTGGGGAGAGGTGAGTGGGATTCTCTGCTCATTAGCAGCCCGCAAGGGACACGAGACACCAGCCGACTCACTAAGTGCAGGCCCTCTGAGCCTCCCAGTGAAAGCTCAGGCTGGTTTGGTGGAGCCCTGGTTCCTCAGCCTGCCTCTTGCCCCTGTGAAACACACTGGGACAGGACCTGGCGCACAGACCCCAAAAGGGCCTACGCTGCAGGTCTGAGGTGAGGGGACACCAGGCACCACCTTGCCCAGCTCTGCACTCAAAGGCTTGGCCCAGAACCATGTGTGAGGTGGGCTGTGAAGCAGGGAAGGAAAATGCCTGGTTAAGAGCCCGGGGTGTTCACTACCCATCATTGTGCATTTTCTGCATGAAACGCTCAAGTCTGAAAGACTTTGGAGTAGGATGAATAATATTTCTAGACAGGAAGCCAGTGTTACGAAAAAAGCATGAGCAGCTTTGAGGCCATGTCTCACCTCCTTTGCTCTCTTCAAAGAGAGCAGCCCTGCCAGCTCCATCGTGGCAGGGTGGGCTTCCCCTCTGTTTGGGGCAGAACTGTCCTCCCATTGCTCCTGAGTGCTGTAAAGCCTATCAAGGTGATGCTAATTTCCACCTCGACATAGAGTTAGCCACAGTTAGCCAAAGAACAAACAGAAAGCTGAGGGAGCAGGCTGGAGGGGAAGGCAAGGAGAAGCCAGCTTGTCCATCAAAATCCTGCTCAAAGATAGAAAGAGTTGGAAAAGCAGGGAAGAGAGTACATTCACTGTGTAAAGCAGTTTTTGTTTGCTAGTTTTGTGACCCTTCTTAAGTATGGACAGGACTGAAACTCCTGGTTTGGAGAATGCACCAGAACCAAGGCTCAGAAACATGTTTCAGGTCTGCAAACTCCTGTCTGGACAAGAAAAAGATTACCAAGACACTTCATTCCTTTACAAGGTGCTATCTGCGATAGCTATTCTTTTCTTCCCTACTATGTCTGCTCTTTCTTTTCCATTCACCTGGAAAGAAACTGTTCTCTGTTGCCCTTCTCTCTTGCCCTGGGAAGGAAGCAGAGCTAACATGCAGCTCCTGTGACATCCAGCCTCTGGATCCTCCCTGCACTGCACTTAGGAGCCAACCTGGATGCTTATAGCAGAGAATAGAAGTAGGGAATCAGGAGATGCTCTTCTCTCTTCAGGAAAAGAACGGAATAGCTCCCACGCCTTGGTCCCAGTGGCCTTTTGTAAGGCTGCCTTGTCAAATACTCTCCTTCCATTCTGCTGCTAAAAGCTCAGTGGCAGGGTCTGCCCTGTTGTGCTGGAATCCAACAGGTCAGAGGCATTGGGAGGCTGAGATGCAGAAGCAGCTCTACCAGTGGCCATGTGGCTCTCTGCTCCTGGGTTGGAGCACAGAGCTGCAAGCTGAGCTCAGGCCCACTTGCAAGGGGAAGCCAAAGACTCCCCTGATGCTGAGCCACTGTGAATTTAGTTGGGAGGGGTGTCATGCACATCCTTTGGGGCATACAGGTCTGTGGGTGCTCCCTGGAGCCACAACCACCATGACTGCTTTTGAACAAGGCTGTAATGCAGCAGCAGTTGGTCACAGCTGGAGGGATTTTCTGTGTAGTGAGCAGCCATCAAATCTAATTCCATACCAGCAGCAAGAGCCAGCCACACACTAGAAATAAACTTAGTGTGTACCTTCTCTTCCAGCTCCTTCAACATCAGCCAGAGCAAGGGATTAAAACATCTCCAAACAAACTAATTTTCCCTTACTGCAGCCTGGCTTCAATCTTCAGGTACAGTGGGTCTCACCACTCCCCCTCATCCAAGCTTGATATATGTGATAAGCACACTTATTTTACCCATCTGTGCTACCTTTGAATGGATGAGAATTTTCTGTCCTCATTTTGGAGCCCACATTCCCCACACACAGGAAAGAAAAGGCAGCTCTGCCTGCACATTCTTTCTCTTAATTTAAAATAAGTTGCACATTAAACCACACCTGATCTGTATTTGTGTAAGGGAGGAAACTACAAGAGAATTTTTAAAGAAGGAGGAGAAGCAGAAAGAAATAGATACTGCTATTCCCTGTATCTCTTCATGGGTTGCAGCATCTCTCTGACGTACTACACGCTTGATCAGAGAGGGATCTAGAGGGCTGCTGCTCCAGGCTAGAGGAGTTTCTGAACATCCAAATCTACTGAGAGCTACAGCAATATCCAACCTCTTCCAGTCGATGTTGAGATACCCAAAAATTTTCCAGAACCAAAAGACTGACTTTTCCCCCACCTTAGCCACCTCTCCATACACACAGCTACCCACAAAGAACATCAGTAAGCCACATCCCTGCACCAACCAGCTGGGCCATGGGGAGAGGAAAAAAGGGCCTTAGCTGCAGGTCCCTTTTCTCTGAGCACCTAGGGCTACATTCCTCGGTTGGGACCCAGAGTGGGTTTTGCTTACTGAGAAATAGAACAGCTATATTTTGGTTATTGAAATGCACTTGCCACAGCACAAAGTTTATTTATTTATTTAAACACACCAACTCACTATCAGCAGTGCTCTAGTTTTCAGTCACACCTGCTGCACTCCTACCTTTCAATATCATTCCTCTTGAAGCCTCCTCACCTTCCCCTCACCCTCAGCAAGCACACGTGTTGTACCTCTGGCAGAGTCAGGAAAAGAAAGGAGAAATTAAAACAGTGGCTCCTCCCAAGCAAGCTGCAATCCAATCAATCTTTGCCAATATTTGCATTAGGTCTGCTTCTCTACTTTGCTACAAAAGCCACAGCATTCCCACCTTCTTGCTGTTTTGTTTTGATTTCTGCTGAAATGAGTGCACCTAAGAGCACAGCTTACCTGTGTCACCCAAGGACCCTGAGTGCTTGTGAACTGTCCCAAAGACAGAACTCTGCCAAACATGCTATAGCCCTGCTCATGGCTGTGCTTCCAGCAGTGACTAATAAAAGCCTTCAGCCATACACCCACCATAAACAGCTTGTTTTAGCATCTCCATTAAAATAGAGATGCTAAAAATATTTATTCCTGTTTTGCAGAACTTAGGAAAAAAAAACTGTAACAAGAAACAACCTGTTTTTCCTCATGTCAGAGGAGCAGGAGCTGCATCTCCTGCAGGCAGGCACTGATGTATGGAGGAACAGGAAAACAGGAACTCCCTTCTGCAGCAGAATTAATGATGAAGAAAGAGATGGGAGCAGCAGCTCTAGGGGAAGATGTTCTTCTCTTCTTGGGTGGTTTCCACAGGGACATTTGAGGCAGAGGTGCAGTCAAGAAGAACTGAAGGGTAAGCAAAGTTCACTTACTATTTTAAGCAATGCAAAGTTTGCACTTTTCAGAATACAGTAAAATAAGGACACATGACCCTGCTGAGTTATTTATTGCAACACCTCTGAGTTAGCAAAAGGTACCTTTGTTACTCCCACAAAATGGCCTTTATATTTTTTTTATCTCTGAGGTGCCAGATCTGCCAACACTGGAAAAACAAACAACCAAAACCATGCATTTTCGTTCAAGCCCTACAGCTTATCCTGCAAGGAGCAGAAAGGACTCAGAGACCTGATTGAGTACTCAGTCAGATCTTTCTGCATTTTGGCTACAGAGCTAAGCCTGTGGTAAGAAATAAATGTTACTTAATACAGAAAAAGGAATATTATCTCAGGGCACAGAAAGACACTGCAGGTTGTTCAACAAACTATATGTGGTAGCCAAGCTCATGGTGACCTGTCACCCCAACAATCCACCTCAGACCCAACTCTCAGGTGAGTTAACCACAGCAATTCCTTTGGCTTGATCATTTCTCCCATTCAAGACCACGCTCAGACTAGATGGGTAAAAATTGTACATGGACTAGGTGTAAAACTGCAGAATTGTCCTTATGCCAAGTGCACCAGATAGAAGATGCTAGAAATAATACACCCTTCACAGGCACATCAGGTGAGAACAAAGAGCACTAATCATCCAAAACCCCAGCCTTGGTCAAGACTTTGAAAGCATGGCCACTTTCCTGGAAGCAAACTTCTCCTTACTAGACACAACAAGAGCCATCTTCTGTCCCTCTACTAACCACAAAAAGTGACTGCACTGAAGACCATTCAAAACAGACTCTTTCTATGGAGAACTATCATCTTATTTCCATAGAGATATGCCAATATTACACTAAGTCCTAAGCAGAAAGCCTGCCTACTATCTGGAGCTAAAAAAAAAAAAAAAAAAAAAAAAAAAGCCGTACTCTGTAGCTGAAAACTGCTACCAGCCTGTGTCACTTCTGTGCCATGCACAGCAACGCATAACACGCACCAGCAACCACTTATCCTTTGTTATTGACTTCTGACCCTAAGGGCAATTTCCATTTCTTATCCACTTTCTCTGCTTTAGAAGCAGCACAGATGGTGGGCAACAGGGCTGTGGTTGCCTTCCTTTCTCTGCCATTTGCTTCTGTGCAAGAGTAAAGCCTTGGGGCAGTTGGCACCAGGGGAGCTGCCAAAGCCCTGGCCTTCAGTAGGAACCACTCTTCCTCCTTAGGGACTGAAAGAGCCTGTGTGTCTTACAAGGAGGATGAAATTAACCCTTTAATTGGTTAATTAAACCTTAATGGGACCCACTCTTCACACTGTGAAAAGTAGGCAAGACAATGCAGAGAAGAATTAGCAGGCTTCACATTTGGCAGTGTCCACAAATTTTAAAGTGTCTCTGAAAAGGACAACAGTGGAAACAGAAGAGAAGTTCCCAGATGTTAGCCAGAAAGTGGAGATGGTGGACAGAATGGCCACAATCTAGCAGTTCTGCAACTTCAGAAGTGAAACCTTAGAGGAGCAAACCATCCTATATTTTCTCTTATCCTCAGACAAGAAAACAATTTAGACAGCTCTCCCGGTGGAGGAAGTTCTCATCTCATTCCCAGGTTTCCCAGGAGGAGAAAGCAATCTAACCTAGGATTACTAGTGGAAGTTGTTTGAACAGAGGTGGTGTGCTTCCTAAGCCATCTTCCTGTTATTGCATTGCATTAAAAATACACAGATAACCCTGAAATCAATAATTTCTGTGTCCTTTCAAACAGAATAAGGAGAGAGTCACTTAATTAAGATGCTGTGGTGCATAGACCCACCTCCATGCTGACTCTGCCAGGGAGCTTAGAGCTTACAGGGTAGTAGATTCCTCTGCAGCAAAGAATGACTGATGGCAAGCACCTCATCACAGGTGGCTTAGGGCATGCCTTGCTGGTTACACAGAGAGATGGCTGTTGCTTTAACTTTTTACACATTTAAAAGTGGAAGTGGGTAGCAAGGGTGAAAGCTTTTTACATACACCATGGAACACAACAACTCAGTGAAGCAGAGGAATTGCACTGGCAGTAAATAAGCGTGTCACAATTTGTTTGGACTCCTGCAGGGACAATTTAACATAATTTCAGTGACAGTGTAGCAAGAACACACAGGAATTCATTCTAGTGTCAGCATAACTTTTATTTATTTATTGCTGTCAATATGCACAGTAAAGGAAGACCTGATGTGGCTACCTCCTGCATACAGTACTTCTGCAAAGTCTGGTATTGTGGCTTTGATGGTAATAGAACAAAGGTGCTGCATTCCAACCCACAAGACAATTTTCCTAACTGCCTAAATTACAGATACATACCCTGGCTGTCCTTTATTCCGTCTCTTCCAGCGTCATGTAATATAGATCTTGTAACTGGAAAATAGCTAGAGATGATGTGAGAACAGCATAAATGGGGAAACCAGCTCCATATTGTTTTCTCACAGCCCTTCAGCCTTGTAGGAACCAGAATTCATTGGTGGCTTTCTAGCATGCAAGCACAAGTGGAAAAAACATAGAAGGATCAGGTATGCCAAGGAAGGACAGAAATTCTCTTCCCCTATCACATCACCTATCAATCATCACAAAAATGTCAGCCTTCAGTGCTGGATCCTCTGATTATATAAAACCTCCCATTGCCTGGCAGAAGGATACTGGTCAGTGACTGACTGAAATGGAAAGTACAAGCTGTGCTTTCAGTGCTTTTCCTCTGGGCACACCAGAGTGTCTCCATTCAGGAGCATCACACCCTGACAGCATGCTCCTCCACCCAGCATCAACCCTTCTCCTCTGACTGGGAAGCCAGAGCTCCCTTCCCAGTCTCATCCTCGACTTCTCCCTAGAAACAGTTCTAAATTGGTAGGGAATGACTTAGCTGGCCAGAAGACAAAGGCTATGAGTGGACACTTTCACAGTCTGATTGGGACTGGTAAGTAACTACCTGTGTGTCACCAGACGTATATAATTCCCAGGGGTACTGATGCCCTGCAAACCCCTGTAAATCTGCATTTAAGACTCCCTGAGCCCTTACTGTACTTCTGCTGCTAACTTTATTCACCCTTGTGTTGTTTATTTCTGTGTTTCCCAATTAATATCCTGAAGAAAACAGAGCAACACTCTGAGTATGCTTGTCCTGTGCTCTGTAAGCACCAGGTAGTGCTGTTGCTGCAGCAGAGTTAATTACTAGCCAGTGGCTTGTTTAAAATAGGTGGGAGAGGCTGCAAAGATTCCACAACAAAGTGATTCTAGTCCTGTAACACAGAAGATGACCACATGCAGGGCAAATTGTCCGCTTTGATAACCACATGGCGAGCACTTGGGAGAGCAGAGACTAGCAAGAAGCCCACCTCTGAACAGGCTGTTCACAGCACTGCTCCCAATCCAGCTTTGACTTGCCAGAGGTCCCAGTTTTATTGAGACAGCATGGATTGCAATTAAGAGGGCTGGTAGAGAGCAGTACAAAGCCTTGACCACAGGCTATTCACTGCAGCACATACAGAGGTGACTTTCCCCACCTCCACAGCCCTGAGAGCTTGCTGCTGACAATGTTTAACTCTTGAAGTGATAGTGGGTTTTGTTGCTGGACAGTCCTCACTCTTTTGCCTTCCAACTTGTTTTACAGAGGTGTTGATGAACCCATCAGGACTGAATCAAGGGCTTCTCCACACTGATGCTGCCTATAGATAACACCTTCTGCAGCACATATCTCTGTTCTGACACAGCTAGATGTCCCAGTGCAAAAAATATGCAAAGGTGGCCCCAGAATGTTCTGCCCACAGTCAACATAACTCAACCCTCCCTCCAGCTTGCATCCATGCCACTGAGTTACCTATGAGCTCTTCTCTGTACACGATCCTCCTTGGAGCCAAATCCACAGCATTCTCAGGTTGTCTTCACCTTGTGGTGCTGCTCTTTGCTTGAAATGATGTAGCATTAAGACAAAAAGTTGCCCTATGTTTAACACTTTTCCCTGTGCTCAGGACACTGGGACTGCTGCAGTTTTCAGCCTGTGCCCCGTGGAAGTGCTGATTGACTGGGGGTGTGGAGCGAGCCATTTGCTAGAGAGGATCAGGGAGAAAGAGGTAAGCTGTGTCCGGCTGGGGAGGTTACACTAGCTGGAACATAGGCTGATAAAGGGCTTTCTCAGAAGCACTTGTGTTTGGCAGACAGACTAGACAGGAAAGGAAAGAAGAGGCCTTTCTTAACCTACGGTCTGTGGTTCACTTTAACACTGACTGTGGCATCTTGGCAAAACACGCCTTAATGTAAGCAGCTGAAGCAAACAGGTCTGGAGTGATCAGCAGAGAAGGTCTGCCAGGCTACAAGGAGCATTCAAACTAAAGCAAAGCCACTAACTGAGGGAATTGCCTACACACCACCTCACCCCACTTTCCCCACCAAAGGGCAAATCTCCCTTCTGACCCTAGTGCCCAAGGGCATAACGTTTGCGGAGCTGAACGGCAAGTTTTACTCAGAAGCCCCCTTCCAAGAAGAGTCACTTTTTGTCCCCTGAAGCAGAATCCTTTTGTGACCTCATGATTTGATAGATAGTTTTCCTGAAGCGCTGGTCCCGGCTCAGTCTTTTGGCTGCTTCTTTCAGCTCTTCAATGTTTTCAGCTTCTGCATGCGAGAAGATGAAGGACTGGGACTGCTTCACTGAAACAAGAACAGCACAGAAAGGTCAGCACTCTCCATCAGGGACACAAACTGAAGATAAAGCTTCACTAGAGCACACGAGCCATGTGATCACCTGGCAGGGGATGAGCTAAACATTTTGCTCTAACAGCTTTACCTCACTGTGTTCAGAGGAGGAAAATGCTGACGGCATGGAAACACACTTTTCTTTACAGCTGCCTCTGATTTAAGGTGCTACACAGAACCTGATCTAACCTTGCAAGTAGCCACTCTGATCACCAGATTGGATTGGACAATGTCCAGGTGTTCCTTCCAACTTAATTTAGTCTGTGATTAAGCATTCCAATGAAGTCACATTTAAGCATGTTTTTTTGGGGGGGCCAGAACCATCACAGCAGCTAGCTTTAAACGTAAATAAAGAAACAGGTAACAAGTACGCAGGCTCAGTGCCTGCTCTCTAGGAAAGGAAGCTCCAAGTAGCACTGTAGCTCCATTCTATTACTAAGGAATATGAAACACAGATAACCTTTGGAGACTTTACTGCTCTGTCAGCCCCATCTGCACGTATCTGCTCTTTCAGAATGCAGATTAAAAAGCTTCTTGATACCTACTATCATTCCATGAAGTACTGGTTCTCCGGCAGCGGAAGCGGCAGCTCTTTATGCGGCGAGTGGCAGCCTTGTGGATGTACACGGAGTTCTTCATGATCACAGGCATCTTGGCCTCCAGCTCGGCATTGCGGATGCACTCTTCAAAGAACTCTGAGAAAAAGACACCACTGTAAGAGTGATGGGACAGACACTGCAAGCAACAAACCAGTCACAAGGGACTGCACTCGTTGATGGGCTGAGCCAGATAATGATTATCTTCACAAACAACACTCTATGAAGCTCCCGAACGTCATCAAAATGAGCATATTCAGTGACAAAAACCTATGGTTCCCAAAAAGCATATACTCACATTTTAGAAAGAACTGCAGAACATTCCACATCAATCATTCACACAACTGCTCCTGATTCAACTGACAAAAGCCTCTGATACTGTAATAAAACTTCTCAACTCTCTTGCAACAGAGGGTATGAAGCTTCAGTCATCATACTTTCTTTGAAGGACTTCTAAAACCAGTCAAGTCTAACTGGGAAAGGGAGGTTTTTGGCAACACTGGCATGGGCACATACCTCCAGGCCATACATGGCCAGGAATTTCTTAAAAGCACAGCATAGAGATACTTACATTATAGGCTTCAAACAAAGCCCCACGTCTGAACTCTGACAACGTTATTATGTCCTGATCTGCCACACAAGCTGCTTTTCCTGGCCTATTTTCTCTCCTATGATCTAACCAGCATCTCTTCTGCCATTCCAGTCTTGCTGTCCTCCTGCCTGTCGCTGGCCCCTTGCTATGCAAAGGCATCACGTGCTAATGTGCCCAAACTTTTATATGAAAGGGTAGGGCAGGGCAGGGTAGAGCAGCAGGAACCACTTGGAAGGACTAACATAATGCGTGCTGAGACCAAAGACATTGGTGGTCCCTCATTTTCTCTAGTCCTCCGCTCATCAATACATTTTTACTTTTTTAAAGAAAACATTCGCCAAAATCTGAGGTTAGAAATGTCATGAAACGCTCAATACTAGAGGTTACTCACTTATGCCCTGGTTAGGTAGCTCAGCTCTACTTGAATGCTGAACTCAACACATCCACTTTAGCTCAGTTTCCTTAACATGGCTCCTGGACAGCGGGATGAAGTTCCAAATCATGTTGGTTTTCCTCAGTTTAGAAATCTTATGTAGAAACTACTGAATAATACTTATTTTATTTAAATATATTAAAAGGATAAATATGTGAATAGATATAAAAACTATTAATACATGTATTTATTCTTTTTTTATTATTCTTTTCATGTAAACAGTGCTCAGAATGCCACAGGACTTTTTGACTTTTCTGTATTGGCCCAGTACATCCATCCTTCACTGAAATGAAGCGTTAACTGTACAAATACAGAATCTTCATAACCTTTTCCCCCTGAACTATACTTGAGGATGGAAAATAAGCAAGACTTCACATAACTGAAGCTGATAATGTCAGTTCCCAAACCCGACTCAAGCCGAATGCTAAGGTAATACCCCTTCAAAATACCCCAGAATTTCCAACCCAAATAAGCACAAAAAGGGCAAGGAAACAAGGTTAACCTGTGAGGGACATGAATCTTACACCTGACCTGTGGACTGCAGCTGTCTCAGCATAGCAGTGCTGATGCTGTGATTCAGGTCCAAGTAAGGATCCAAACTTCACCTGCTGGGTCACCTACCAGCACGTTGCTACAGCAACCACAGTCCTCCTTAAACTGATGTTGCTGTAACCAAGGCTGAGAAAATAATGTCTTGAGGGGAATAAGAAGACTCTTTATAACTCAGACCTAGTCAGTCTTTATAGCTTTGCCACAGCTTTCCTTTGACATTTTGGAAAGCATTTGATCATTTCTACCTTTAGGTTTGTCTTGCACCCAACAAAGAAAGCTGGGATAATTTTAACCTTCCTTTAAAGGGTGAAATACCATAGCACATTATGGCTCCTCAAACGGGTGGTGTGGTGGAGGTACAAGAATTTGGGGAGCACATTATGTGCACTAAGGATCTTCTTTGTGTGTCTGGAAAGATGGGTGGAAATATTTCCTCTCTCAGACTTTGATCATCAGCAGAGAGGATGGATGATTGACTTACTTCTCAAGTTACTGACATCTGCTTTCATCTTTTCCTCTTTCTCCTTATTGCAATGCAGAGAATTTAAGCCTTGCTCCAAGCTCTGCAATGCTTCCTCAGCTTCTCTCAGTCTCTTCTCCAGATCCATGCGTACCTTCACCTCAGCCTGATAAAAAGAACAAGAGTTGCTGAAAACTGGCTTGTGTCTCAATAATCATCCTGGTAACTCACCAGGTCTGTGAGGGACTCACTGTGGACGAAAACAAAGAGACAACAGTGACGAAAATCCTTAGAAATATTGTAAGACAACATAAAAGTTGTTCCTCATGTCTTTAGATAGAATCTGAAGTCCAGACTATTTTAGTAATTCTCCTTTACTCTGACTTTCATTTTTCACAGTTTTCCTCCCATTGCATAAACCATATGGAATCAGAGATGGTATTTCAACACAAGAATTTGTGCTAATGCAAGTATTTGCAGATGAGCAGGAACGGGAGGACATAATTCCAGCTGAGATAAGTCCAAGGCAGTCAGTTACCACAAAGGGGTGCACAGTACTGAGTTTCAGAAACAAAACACACAAGAAAATTTAGAACTAAAGTAATAACTTAGCAAATCAGAATGACTAATACAGCTTAGTTCAACTTAGCTTCTGTTTGGTCAAGTGGAAGGTTACAGGATAAAAAAAAATATTGGAAGTGCAGGAAAAAGAAGAACTGGGGTTTTTTTGGACAAAATATTTGTATAAGGAGGTTGAGTGTCACAGCCAATAATAAACATAACCTTCATGTTATTTAGACTTAAATAACAATTGCAAGTATGTAGTATTAAACATATAAATATATGAAATGAAAATGCACGTAAATGAAATTTCACTACATTTAAAGAAAACTAAACACAGCAGTTACAAGAATCAAGTTCTCCAATATCTAAAATATAAAAAATGTCAAGCTATGTCTACATAGCTCAAACTATGTCTAAATAGCTCAAAAACATATCATTAATCTATGCAAAGGTAATTGGACAAAGTATCTTCTGTTACAAAGGAGGGCTGGTACCTCAGCTGCATTCCTCTGCTTTTCAACTCAAGTTCTTGCAGGTTACTGAAGATTTACACATCTTAAGACTGATTTTCTGAGCACAAGTGAGGAGGGAGGATATCTGCTCAGTTCTGCAATGTCCATGTTAACATTTCTTTGAAATAATCTTTATTCTTTTTCTCGTGTAGTTTACTTTTTTCTTCCCTCCATCTTTAGATGATGATTTCATAGTACCAAACTAGAAGACTTGCACTAAACAGGTTAATCAGGCTTTAGAATGAGAAAATAAACAGTAGTGCTACATAGATACAACGTGGCAACTTCATATGTTACGGTGGTGTCATAGTGTGCTTTGGATTGGAAGGGACCTTAAAAGATCATCTAGTTTCAAACCCTCCGCTGTGGACAGTGACAGCTTTCACTAGACCACACTGCTCAAACTCCCATACAACCTGGTCCTGAACATTTCCAGGGATGGGGCATCCACAACTACCCTGGGCAACCTGTTCCAGTGCCTCACTGCCCTCACAGTAAAGAATTTCTTCCTAATATCTAATCAAAACCTCTCCTCTTTCAGTTTTAAGCCAATTCCCCTTGTCCTATCACTACATATCCTTGTAAAAATTCCCTCTCCATCTCTCTTGTAGCCCCCTTGAGGTACTGGAAGGTGCTGTAAGATTTCCTTCTCAGAACCTTCTCTTATCCAGGCTGAACAACCCAAGCTCTCTCAGCTTAGAGGAGAGGTGCTCCAGTCCTCTGATGATCTTTGTGCTCCTCCTCTGGACTCATTGCAACGCGTCCATGTCCTTCCTGTGCTGAGGACCCCAGAACTGATGCAGTATTCCAGGTGGGGTCTCACAAGGGCAGAGTAGAGGGGCAGAATCACCTCTCTCAACCTGCTGGTCTCGATGCTTTTGATGCAGCCCAGGATACGGTTGGCAATACGAAGCACAGCAAATGAAGATTTGTGACCACAACATGAAAACAAAATAAAACAAAGAGTTTGGCTTGATGGGGGATGAACTGAGAGGGAAAATTAGAGCACTTTGGGCCCAGGAACAGCAATATTACAACATTTGCAGGGAATACCTTGAGGTCCCTCTCTGCCTGCTGTTTCTCTGCAGTCAGCTCCGAGAGTGAGTTCTGCAGCGCTTGTGACTGGGAAGAGTAAAACTCCCGCTCCTCCTCCAGTGCTCGGGACCGCTCCTCATTCTCCTTCATCCTGGTGCATGGCACAGCAAAGAAAGATGACCATTCCCACCCCAGTACAACTGACAGGAAGGAAAGAGGCTCAGTATCGTGATTGGGCATGCTTAACTATCTGGATGTCCTGAGCAAAGAGGTGCTAACAAGAGCACTGTCTGTGTTTCACTCCAATAATACAGGCATTGCTGGAGAAAGCCAGGTGGACAGTTCTTGAATGGAACAGTCTCAATCCCCAGATGAGGCCCAGAAGCATCAAACACTCCTTAGGGACAGGCCATGAACACCGTCACGTGCCCAAATCCTGGTTTGAAAGGAGAAGGCCCAACCAGCAGAAAGAAGTTCAGCAGCCCTGCCTCACTTTGTCTCCTTTGAAGTGTTTGTACCCTAAACTCCTGCCATGGGAACCAGACAAGCTTCCAGACTTGTCTTGTGTTGGCAACGAAAAAGCAAGTCAGCAGATAGTCATGCCATTTGGCATCCATAAGCCTGAGCAGGGCAGAAGTGTCCTCATCCCTTTATCACACCCAAGAAAGGAAATTATAAAGGATCTTGGCTCTCTGCAGGTCTCAGGATAAACAGGGAAACTGTTTTGAAGTGATATCATTTGAAGCCTGCAAATATTTTGCCACATCCCCATGCCTCCCATCTGCAAGGGACAAAACTACCTCTTTTCACAGCCCCCTCCTCACACTGGATCACATCTCATCACTGATACCACCTCAAGAACCCCTGTCCCCACTTCACCTTTTCTCTGCCAGGAGTTTCTCCTGCAGAAGTTGCTGCATCTTTTCTTCAATCTGTCGCAAGCTGCAGTGCAGTCCCCAGATGGGGCTTTGCTCTTTGCTGGGGCTGGTTGGAGGTGGGACCTGGCTCTCATTTTCTTCCAGCATCTCCAGCATTTGCTGCTTTTCCAGGGAGAGCTCCTTGAAGAAGGACAGAGATTGTGAGTATCAGCCAAGTCTAATGTTTCTGCTCCTGTTCCTGCCTGGCTCTTCCCTATTGAGTCCCTCCACCCTTACATGCCTCATTCTGGTTAAAAACATGAATAATAAAATTAGGTTTTCATTTCGTACCTGCCTCATGAGTAGCAAGCCTCCACCACAGCCTTTGCTATGAAGGCAGAGAGAACCTGCAGGCTCCTTTGATGCGATATGCTAGTAAGGACACAGCTCAGGGACTGGAGCCTTGTGATTCCCTAGTGCATCACAGATGCAGCCAGCTTCCCTGCCCGGCTTGCTCCTCAGTGGGAACTGCAGGCATCCCCTCTGTGGTGCTTCTAACTGCGGGGCAATAAGACCTATCATGCTGTTTGCCTGTAAAGTGTTTGATTCAGTGTGCAACCAGAGCATGAACAGTCCTTCCCTAGCTTTCCAGCTCTTTTTTCATTCCCATAACTTCAGGCAAGGAGAAGAGCTCATAGGAACAGATTTTTGGACAAACTTGCAGGATCTGACACAAACATTAAGAATGACCTTGTGGTTTCCTAAGGCTGGCTGTATGAAAATCTCACAAATGTGCATTTAGAAAAGACACTTTCCACAAATCCACCAGAATGATATCAAGTAAGGAAAGATTTTAATACATCAATATTCCTTTTCCTATATTCTCATGTGGTACAGGATTCCTTGGGAACACCACGCTCTCTTCTGTGAGCAGGAAATGCCTCTCTCCCGCTCCAATTTCCACCAGAACTTACGGAGCTGCAGTTTAAAAAAAAAAGTGCATGACTTTACAGCCATGTTGGCTGGAAGGGACCCTCCAGTAGGCTCAAGTCCAACCTCCTGTTCAGAGTTGGTCTGCCAGCACAGCAGGTTATGGTCAGATGTGGCTTTCTACAGTCCAGTTGTGAAAATGGATGAAGGTTCCTTCCACAATGAAGGTTCCTCAGGCTCTCCCACTGCCTGCCTATCCATCTGGTGAAAATTCTCTCCCTAGTGTTCAACCTGAGCTTCCCAAACTGCAACTTTTGGGTTTTATGCTACCATCACATCACCTGGTATGACTGAGAAAACTTTGCTTCAGCTGGGCCCTGTATCACTTCTCATCATTTTTGTGGGGGATTTTGGCATTCATACCAGCCACCAAACGAACCTGTTCATCTGTACAGGACTTAACCCTGGAGCTAGCAGGTATTAGATTCATTCCAAGGCACACTAAAATGCTGTCACTCAGAGGTGAGAAGTGGTCACTCACCTCTAGGGTGTTCTGTAAGGACTGCGTCAGGCTTCGCAACTCTTTCTTTTCTTCCTCCACTCCTTTAAGGGAGCGGGCTGTGAGCTCCAACTCCCTAAAGAAGCAAAAAGGGGGAACAGCTATTGCAGTGGAACACTAGCCCCACAGACCACACTCAGACTTCACAGGCTGTGGATCTCTTGGTGAAGGCAGTCCCAGAGAGTCAGGAGCTTGCCAGGAAGCATCACATCCTGCCTCGAACACACTATGGGCATTCAGGAACTTTACTGTGCCTCTTGATCATCAAACCAAACCCAGTGTGCTTCTCTAGCAAGGGCAGGGCCATGGTTGCAACTGGAAGAGTTCAGACAGGACAGTCATATTTAAGCAGAAGTAGGTCTATGAAAACAAAAATGGTTTGCAAAATCATGCTGAGATGTTATTTAGGGAGAGAAAAGAAAAAAAAAATAGGGCAATGGCTAAACAGCCCTTTCAACACTCAGGGCAAAGCATTTTTATCCTTCCCAAATACATTTTCCACTTACATTTTGCACAGTGTAATTATTAAAATTACAAAACTATTCTTGGTGAGGCAACATTATCATCCACCCATTGTCATTGAGCTGATGGTGGAAAACCAGATCCATATGTTTGGACCCCACAGGGCTGGTTAGCCAACCAAAGTAGTTGCCTCTTTGAAATCCTCTCTAGCAGCTCCATTGTCATGCTACCCCAACCAATCTGGGGTTTGCTCATGTCCCAGACCTTTGAAAATAAATTGCTGGAGCCCTGAATGCAAAATGAAACTAAGCTGTATTCTATTGGTCACACAAGCAACAGCAAATGCAGGTAAACAGTCCTCAACCATTCCTGTTTTGGTCAATATAGCATCTCTTCTCCTTCCTACATGCACAAAAATAGTTGGGTTTTACAAACTGTTTTGATTCACTGCCACAGCGGCACTTTTGCCCAGTGTGGGAGCTGGTGACCTTTTCCTGCCCTGCTCAGTCTGCTGCCTTACCGTCTGATCTCTTCCTGCTCCAGCCTCAGCTCCCGCACCACCTCTTCAAACTGCTGCTTCTCTGCTTCCAGGATCTGGTTCAGACGCTCGAGTTCCTGGAACAAAAAAAAGAAGACAGGAATGTACTCTGCCTATATGGTTAGGAAAGGCTTCCCTGTTAACAATGCCTGGGACTTTAAACCTGGCATTTAACCCAAGCTATGCAGAGCCATGAAGTTTCTGATCACAACACACTTTTGTCCAGGGGCATTAGAAGGGATCTGAAGTTAGCTGAGGATTTTCAGACATCCACATGCCCCATTCAGGTTACCAAGCACACAGAGATCCCAGACATGCTCTCTGCACAGGTCAGTTCTGATGCATATGTACAGAAGGTCCAAAACTCCCTGGGAATGCTGGACTCCACATGTATGTACCATTTCCAGGCACCCACATGTGCAGGTACAGATAGTCCTGACAGGAGTGTGACAGCCCCAGAACTGCTGTGCCTGAAGTGTAATTTTTCTACCAGCTCTGCCTTGCTCTCCAGCCCCACTGGGGCAGGAAAACACAAACCGTTCGGTTACAGCTTTGCACAGTTTAATCAGCCTGTCACTATCTTTGTGCTGATAAAACCACACTTAAAGAGCACCAAATACTACAAGCTGTCCTCAAGCAGCAAAACAGCCTCTTCCCCTAGTCTAGAGGAAGCAGTTGTACTGAGACCTACTGCAGATGGAGAAAGACAGGGACAAAATACAGCAAGGGTCCCTCTCCCGGACAGGTCCCTTTGCAGCTATAGCTGCTAAGCAGAACTGCTGCAGGCCCAGGCTACTCACAAAACAGCACTGACACTGGATAAATTAAAATTAAGAGTCTTGTTCCATGGTGCAGATACAGGGTTCAAGCTTCTTTCCCAAAATACTTCTCTGGAGCCTTCAGGCTCCCAGCAGGTCAGACTGCCACAGATCAGTGAGATCTACATTCAGTTCTTCACAGTACCAAACTCCTTCAAACTAACCTGGCCCCATCTGCTCTTTGTAGGCAATGGGGTTACTGTGCATGGCTTTTTAAGAGCAGAGATTTGTTCCAGGATCTTCAGACAACGGCATTTCCCTCCCCATGGCTGTGGCTGTGCAGCAGGCTACTGCACCAGAAGGGGATGTCTCTCTGCAAAGGCAGAAGCAGCTTAGCCCTAAAGGAGAGTCCAAGCCACCTTTGGATTTTAGCTCTCCAGAAACGTATGCAAGAAAAATACAGGCCCGAGAAGCCAAGGTCAGCATTGCCGTCTTTTCCTAAAGAGGGGCAATGGTCGTTTTGGATTAAGTGGAATAGAAGATGAGGCACTGTGCAAGGTTGTAACATGGTATTCTACATCCATGCAGACTTCTCTACTGTGTAATAGGATAATCCATTTGCACGTGCCGTAACTTTATGATGGTGCTAAAAAATCAGTATAGTTTTGCTATAAACGTGAGAATGAGTTAGTCTTGCTATATTAAGCAAATATAAGTTAGGAATAGTTTGGAAAACAATTAAAAACTTGATAAAGCAACCTGGTTTAGTGAAAGATGTCCCTGCTCGTGGCTGGAACTAGGTGATCTTTAAGGCCCCTCCCAACCCAAACCATTCTATGATTCTAAGATAAATTAAGGTATAATTGTCACCTCTAAGGGAGTGCTCTCTTGATTTTTCTCTAGTGTAATATTTATTATTCTCCCCATCTCTGGTGTGTCAAAAAAACAAACCACCTTGCTTTTCCTGCTCCTTGTTTTTCTACACTAGAGAAACTACACTAGAACCATGTCTGTTTACTTGCTTTCTAACTGTGGAGACAGGTCTTGATTGCCACAGTCTTCACTGCCAAATAACAATTGTGTAATTCAAACTAGTGAATATGAATTTCATTCCATTTTCGTCCCTGATCCTCTTGGAGATGCAATCACAAGCCCACTGCGTGGAAAGTAACACGGAAAGGGAGCAGGGATACACCTCCAAGACCCATCTCATGACAGGTCTTATTCCTCTCTTCATCCACAGGATCCAGAGCTTGGCTGGAAACTCTTGTGGCTCCACAAGCCTCTGTCCCTTAACCCTGACATGCCTCCAAACCAACGACTCTCAGAATCCCAGTCCTGCCGCATGGAAGTTAAAGGAAATAGGCTTGGCATGAACACTCACCTCTTTTTGCTCTCTTTGCAGACATAGCTCTTCTGTTTCCTCCATTAGCTTATCTGCAAGCAACAAACAAAGGCCAAGCATAGAGAAAAGCATTTTATATCCTGGGGATATTTACAAACATGACTTTCTGAAGCATTCCCTATTCCTTTGTGTGCATCTGTTTGGGAGGCTCCCAAGTCTAAGATAGCACTTAATGGGATGTTCTGTGACTTCCCTCCTGCCAAACAACTGAATAAACTAAACAACCACGTTGAGAAGAAACCTTAGAAGGAGTACACGGCAATGTTCTTAAAGAACATTAATTCATTAACCTCCACTGTCCTCTAGCTGAGTCAGGAAAATATTCTTATCTCTGTTTCACAGATGAGGAAACAAAGGCAGAGAAGGGTTAAGTGAGTGCACAGGGTCACACACCATGTACCAGCAGTCAGTTCTCCTGCAGCTCAGTGCCTCATCCCCACCTGCCTACCTAGCACATCATCCTCTCCTTACTTCTTAACCCTCTGGGCATCACTGCCAGCTCCCTATTGTCACCTTGGGGTGTCCCAGCCAAGCCCAGAAATCAATCTCCTAACTTAGCCACAAAATTTTTGCTGTACAGAGCCGTTCCCCTCAACATCAGTCACTCTTGTCTACTGAAGACACACACCCACCAGAGGCCCTGCTCTGCTCCTTACCCTGCAGCCTGACGTTGTGCAATGCCCTGACCTCAGAGGTTTTCCCTCAGGCAGCTCTTGGTCACACTTACAGGAAGCTAGACAGAGACACACTCCTCACAGTTAAGCCTAAGGTACCTGATGACTACTACTGCTGGCAGGATTACTACTGCTAGGAGGAACACAGACTTCACCTCCTGCGCACAGCAGGACTCCTGCTGCCGGAGAAATAGTGTTACATTGCCAGAGCTCTGCTGACCACCACTACCGCCTTTTCTTTCCACTCTTGACCTCTTTCTCCTGGCCAGGACCCAGCACAGATGCACTGTATTAAGAGGTTCTTCTACCACCCCCCTTCTGCCCCTCCTGGGGGACCCAAGCCCTGGACTTGATGGCTCTCTATAAAGTCCATGTCTGAGAGTGAAACCTGGATCCTAACTAGGTGAGAAGAAGGCGGGATCCACTCAGTGTGGATTCAGGGAATTCCCTCAAGCAGTGTTTACGTCCTCCAGAGAACCCTGACCTGCTGCCAGGAACAGTGTCTGACCTCAAAGTTTAACTACAGGATGGACACAGATCATTGAAGGTAAGGCTAATGAGGCAGAAGGCTCAGCAGTTATACAGAAATAGACAGTTGCTGTCAAAGGAAAGTAACCAACTGTGACAATTGACCAGCTCTGAATGTTCCTGTCACGGACCAAAGAACCCAGTGAAATATATATTTTATATTCCAAATATCTCCTGTTTGCCACAGAATGTATATTCTTCTATTCCTCCATCACCTCGTCTTTTATCGTACTAAAGACCTCTTCAGTCTTTTAGGCTCTTTAGTCTGCTCTGGTGGTTGTAAAATAATGTTTTGACAAAGTTTTCCTGTTTCTAATCTTCCTCGTGTTCCTGTCCCTCCAGGTCCTTCTTTCAGCACTCCCCATTATCTCTTTGTCAGATGTGGAGCCCCTTCTCCCTCCCTGCCTCACACACAAGCCCATCCATCACCTAACATGTGTGAATGGAGCTTAGATTGCAAGAATGAACATCCCTTGACACTCAAATCATGATCACTGTTGCATGTGGGACCATATACTGAGATCACCCCTGATCATCATGGATGCAAAAGTGCAAAAAGCTCTTCAAGACTCCTTCAGTATCTTGGTGATTAGGAGCAGATACTATGAGCCCCTGCTCAAGACGTCACTGACCTGAGGTACTCAAATTGCTGCCAGCTTGTTTAAAGCAGATGACTGTCCAGACAACTCACTGGGCCCACACATGTGACCAGCAGCCCTCAGAAAGGCTCTTAGAATGCTCTAACATGGAGGGCATCTGGGTTAAAACGGTGACTCCCTTGACTCTTGCTATAGGTGATGCAGGGAAGAGACAGCTGGACCTCCCAAGGCAGTCAGAGCGTCCAAGGTATTGCCATCCAGAGTCTGGAAGGGGATTGGACTAGATAACCTACAGAAGTCTCATTCCAGCTAAATTATTCTGTGTTCATCTGGACAAACTGTTCTCTCTCTACTGTCCATGGAGAAAGCACTGACAAATCAGCCACTGCCATCAGACACCTCAAACAAGCCCATGTAAACACTCCCACTTCCAACACGAACAGTGTGAGCAAACACAAAGTTTAAATAGAGTAAGACCAAAAATGCCCCAGCTCGTTGAAGAAAACTCATGCATGAAAAGCTGTGATCAGCCTCAGAAGTATCAGTCCTGTGGGATTCAAGGAGACAAAGGTATTGGTTGTTTGCTTGGTAAGCAGCTGAAACCAACACATCCAAATATCTCAGGGGCAGCAAACATTTGTACAGACCAGCCATGAGACCAGCCGGGACTGCAGCGTGTTGGCCAAAGCACATTCTTGTTTTCACACTCCAAACAGATGTCCAAATCCTACCTTAACCTTTGCATGTTTTGACTCCCTTCAAATCGCAAGTTTCAGTTGCTGACTACTCAAAAGCTTCATCCAGTAACAGTCAACAGTAAAAATCTGTAGCTGCTTGGCTTGACCACACTGATAACTCCAGAAAAAGCAAAATGGCTATTTTGGGGTTTATGGCTTTTGGAAGTAAGAGTTTCCTACCTAAATACTCCTGTTTCTCCTTGGCCAGCTGCAATCCTTGGGCTTCCAGGCTCTCAATCATAGCTTCTCCCAGCTGGGCATTCTTCCATGTCCTAGGGAGAGCAGACACAAAGCAGGCAATGTAAAGGAGCTAAGGGTCCTACAGATTGAGACAGGGGGCTCAGCCTAGCAAACTACCAAGTAATTCAAACATGCAGACTTTCATAATTTGGGACAGTGATTCTCTAAATTTTTCTCCACAAATGAATTGGAGAAATTTCCCTGACATTGAGTAATACTTTTTTCTTTTTTAAATACATGAGCTGTATGTTCACACCCACAATTATTCAAATGCTATTTTCCAGTGGTTTAGAGCTTTCTACACTGATCTTAAGCTTAAGGACTTTCCAGACCAATTCAGCATATCCACAGCCTCCAACTGAAACAGGATGTATCTGGAACTCTTTAAAAGGATCCTGACAGACTTTAGGACCAGATTTTAGCTTTTAACTCAAATAACTTCCCACTGCTAACAACATTGCCTTCTACAACCTTTCCAGTATTTTGCTCTTATAGTTACTCTTCCTCTTCAAACGTTAACCATTTATTGAATTCTTCCCATAGCCTTCTATCTTCAGTCTTTTGGGTATCCACCATCCACCCTGGAAACAACAAATCCCTCCTCTGCTACTTATAAGCCACTAGGACTTGGTGTCTGGCCCTACACTATGATTTAAGTGCCTCTTCCTGTGAAAACAAAGAAGAACCAGAGATAAAAGCCAGACTAGATGCTGGCAAGTAGGGAATGTTAAAGGAAGCAAGAATATTCAAAGAGTATCTTGTGTTACTGTAGGACCACTGGCTGGAGGATCTCAAGTCACTTAAACACTTCATGAAACTAAGCTACAAGAAAGGCCTGTGGAGCAGAGGCCCATTACTGACTGAGTTGATGGACAGGATAGGCTTTAACACAGATATTAAATACAAAGGAGAAACAAATCAAAACCAGAACCAGCAATGGAGCTTGCTGCTCACTTCTATTGGTGTTTCATTAGAAAAAAAAAAAATCAACACACACATAAAATGCATAACATCAAAACATATTTCAAATTGATTCTAATCTATTTATATAGATGTACATACAGGAACAGCAATTGCTGCCCAGAAATTCTGCCATCTTTATTAAATCCTGAGGGAGCTTATTAATATTAAATATCTGTGAGCCTTCCTATACCAAGCCTCTTTGTGAACCATTTGAAATTGTAGCTTTTTGGAAACCATTAAGTTGGCAATCTTTTATAAAACAATTTCAAGGCAACCTGTACTTCGTCTCTTACAAAAAACAGACAAATAAATTAAACACACGCCACCCCAGGGACCAGGCAGCTCACAGCTCCAGCAGCCCAAGCACTGCCTTGTGCTCCTTGCAGATAGCTGTGCTTCTTTTCAGCTAATGAGGATCATTCTAAAGTGCAGAGGAAATTAGAACACTAATTAAAAAGGTGCTGTTTTGCCCAGAGGTAGACATCTTCATCTTGAGTGAGAACGTGTGGGTGTGAATGTGTTTTTTCACTAACCTTCTCTCATGCAGAATCAATCTCATCCCAGAGAAGCCAACAGCAAAACAGCTCAAGAGGGGAGTGGGGGGGACAGCAGAGTTTATCATATGATTACATGGAGGGTTTCAAAACAGCTGTAGCCTTTAAGGTGTCTATTTATTAGATTCATGTTTCCAGGGCCCCTTCCCTTCCCCAGCCTAACAAGATGTGTCTCTGTCTGTAACTCAAAGGTTACTAAGAAAAAAACCCCAAAGCTGTATAGTTATCTGCATTTGTTATACATCTCAGTCACTGTCTGTTCCAGTCCTTTTGCAGCACTGGGAACACCTCTCTAGTTTTGCCTGCATTTTACCTTTCTCGGGAGCAGCCACAACCAATTTTTGGAGACACTTAGCACTTCATGGTCCATAGGACATATGTTCCATGTTACTTCTGCTGCCTCCATGGCCCACAAAGTTTACTTTTAACAAATTCAGGGAATGCTTAGTTAAGTGAGTTGTGGACAGAGAGAGTGTTACGTGCGTCCCTCTCCCTAACTAGCAGAAGAAAAAGCCTCTTTGGGTGGGAAGAGAGCCTGGTGGTCTAGCAGTCAGGGATTTGTGCATTTCCAAAAAGCTTTCAAGATCTGCAAAGTGTGGTAAGTCCAAGCCACAACACGTTAGAAGGGTGGAGAGACCATCAGTTCTCCTCTGCACTGAATAAGCCATTTCCCTATCAAACCAGGAGGCTTGGAAAGGAGTGAAGAGCTGAAGATATCGCTGAGCAGATTACGACAGTGGAGGCAATAAGCAGTTGTGCAGGCACACACCCCCCTACCCAACCAAGATGTAAAGAGACAGCAGACAAAACTGACACAAAGGAGAGAGGATAGAGGGTATTTCCAGATTGGGTTCCTTTCTTCCTATTTTCCCTATTTCTGTATCTCACTCTACGGAATTTGTTTTAGGGATTTTTTTGAGGATGTTTGTGTGAGGTTTTTTTTTCCTTTAGTTGGTTTTAAATAATAAGGAAGACTACAGGATGATTACAACTAAGTGCTGCAGTGCCACTGGCAGTGCAATCTCCATGTAAGAACAACAGGGCACTATAACAGCTTGTCTAGAATATTTAATCTGGTATCCTTTTGGCTTTCCTGTTCATTGCAGATCAATTTACTGGGCCATGCTGGCCTTTCTGGCTGCTGCTTGACCCTGCTAGTATAAGCCACATATCCTGTGCTTTTCGTGACATGCAGGCTATCCTCAGCACAGGTGAGGCTGGCACTGGAGCTGCACTGCTCTCCTCTGATACAAGAACAGAAGCAGAGAGGGGAGGGCCTGAGCACCCTGAGATCTGAGCAGAAGGGATGCACACTCTAAGGACACACAATTTCTTCAGGGCTGTTACTGACACCTCAGCATGACCAGTACTGTGCTGGTGAGATCCCTGCCTCTAGCAGGATGTAGAGCCACATGGACAGCTGCTCACAAGCTTCGTGTCTTTCCTATTCTGCTCTTACTTTACCTCGAATTCTTACAGGGAGGTTTTCTGACCCCCACCTTTGTCACGCCCACAGACCTTACTACCCACACAGAATGGACCAGGAGGGCTCCCATTCAGGCCCAGGTCCCACCTTTCAGAGGCAAGAGAGAGGGACAGCAGAGGGCACTCAGCACCTCAGCATTTGACAGATGACAGCCTGGGGTTGGGAGCAAAGAGCCATACTGCACACCACACTGCATACCAAGGTGGGAAGCTTTGTGTCAGTTTTAGAGCATTCCCATTTAGGGAAAGAAGAGGTCCAGGAGACAGTTGAAGCTCTTACTGGTTTTGAGGAGCTTGTCTGACTTCCCATAGCCCTTCTAGTCAGGCTTCTTCCTCTTTATCCTTTACACATCTACAGAGCAGATCAAACTGAACAAGGAATAGAAAGAAGCTTACACTTTTCCAGACTCCTGTAGCATCTCCAGCCACTGAGCCTGCTCAAACTCTGATTCAGCTGCTAGAACAATGTTACCCTGGAAGAGGGAGGGAGGGAGAAAAAACCCAGATTAGAGAGGCTGGTGCCTTATGCACCTCTGTGCACTCAGGGCATGAACTGAACACAGCCAGCACTGTTGTGGAGGGAGGAAAGCCCACCACAGTCTTCCACCTCCACAGGAAGCATCACATGGTAACAAATATGACCCAGGTCTGCCAGACATTGCAAAGTGTGCATAGGGCAAACAGTCATGATAGGAAGAAAATGATAGGGGAACATGAGCTCTAGGGATCCCAAGTATCTGTCTACTGGTCTGCTGGTACCATCAAACCTGGTGTCAGAAAGCGCAAGTTTTCTTGTTGGTTGTCGAAGTGGCAGCAATAAAAACTTGAGGGGACTTAGGATGCTAAGCCACCCTCTCTCTCAGGATAGTCTGCCCAGAGAGGGGGGGCATATCTTGGTGGGGATGGAAAAGACTGCCAATCCAGCTCTGCTCATCAGCATTAACATGTTTTGTGGTCTCTGGGGTTTTTTTAGAAGAAAAGAAATCTACTTACATGGAAATCTTCATGAGAGATTTTTATGGCATAAGGCATGTTGGCCTCTTCTTTGGGCTCCACGATGCAGCCTCCCAGGGGTATGACGCCCTAGGATAAACCAGAGCACTCCGATCAGTCAGCAGAATCAGTATAACTATTAACTAACCAGGAGCTGAACTTTCACCCTTGGTCACTTGGGAGGCCCTGCCCTTCCTTGGCTACCCTCGAAAGGGCAACACACACAGTTCCTGAAAAGCAGAGGGACTCCCACCACCACAAGGATCCCCCCCAGCTGGTATCTGAAAGGGGATAAAGATGGCAGTCCTGCATTTGTCACAGAGAGAAGGCTGCTAGCTAGAACATGGAAGCAGGAACTCTGCTATCAAGGAGGAGGTGATCTCCCAGTAGGGGTGAATGTTGCAGGTTCACAGTGGGGTATCATGAGAGAGGCTGTGCATCCATTACAGCCACCACCAGTAGGTCGATGCCCCACACGTGCTGTGTGTGGGCAGATGGGCAGCTGGCTGCTGCTAACCAGGATGAGTGAAATCAGCACCTGTGGAAGCATGTGCGCTTCATCAGCCTCCAGTGACTTCACAGGACAAAAGTAGACTCAGAGCACAGCGCCTCTAGGTGAGGTCTCCAGGTAGCGGAGCTGTGGAGGCCACTCCTATGAACTGAAGGCGTGTGGGTGATCAGATGCTAATGAGTGCAAGTACAGGTTAGGAACAAGCAGCAAACAAAGCTGTCCGCTTTTGGCAGTATTTTTACAGCCAGAAGATTAGTTGTTTAGGAGATCATGAAAATGAGGGGGTACACCTACTGTTAGGTAAAAAATACCTAAAAGTTGTGTAACTGCTGAATCATTAAGTATCTTGAAAAGTCAATGACATAATTCTTTCTTTTTTGAGGCTTACCTTGATCTGTGAGAAGTCTGTGACTTACCTCTTCTTCACTTTCTGAGCCAATAGAGGAAGGAGAGGGGGAGACAGAAACAGAATAACCCCTTCCCTGTGCAAACACCGCTCACCTTGGGGTGGATATTGAAGTATTTATTGCTTTCAAAACTCTTCTTCTCACTCTCAGCATAGTAAAGCAGAAAACTTTCCTTAATTATGAAGAATCTTTAAGACAGAGAAAGGAAATAAATTTTGCTAGAACAGAGGTTGTGGTTCACAGCATGAGAAAATCTCCACCTAATTAAGCTGCTTTCTGAGCAGAAGAGTTTACTAGTTCCATCTAAGTCTAAGGTGAGGTGCCTCACTTGTGCTCATAGTCAAGAACACCAAGGATCACCAAGCTTAACACCAAGTGTCAAGTTTAAGTACTTTGTGCTTACATTTACCACCACAGCACACACACACCAGTGTTGAAGGCAAATCATAGCACCATTTACTCACAACGCTCTGGGTCCAAGACAGGACCGAAGACCTTTGGCACCTGTAGCTGTTTGTGCTCTATCTAGCCCATGTAGGTTGGATTCAACCTACTGGAAGAGAGCTGCTCTTTTTTTTAAGAGTCTCACACATGGGATAAGACCAATTAAATGGTTATTTTTGCAATCTGCTCCCTGCCACCCTCTTTCCTCCCATCTTGTAATAAGACAGAAGGGAAGTGTTTCCACTCTAACGCTGAGTTGTATGGCACGGAGAGTCACAGGCTAACATCTACAAGCGACTCTTGAGGCAAAAAAATGGCCACCAGAGTACTCAGGACCAGAAATAAATTTTAGAGATATTTTTAAGCAGAGCTCCTGGCAAAGTCTTCTGTCATTGACCTTCATAACTACAAAGGAAATGGAATATTTTTTTCTCCTATGTGTAATGTTAAAATATGCCTTGTTCTGCTCGATTAGCCAATATGCCTTGCTCTGCTCAGTTAGCCTTAGGTATGCTCTGATGATCACTGTGCAGTAGCCACAAAATATCACAACTTCTGTAAACCGAGCCTCTAATTTACTGGAGCGTGCCCTCAAAATTATGATTAAAGGAGTGACATTTTTAACTTCTTTGGATTTTCAAAATGCCCCTGGGAGAGTCCCTCCTCTCTTCAAAAATCGAGGTTGCATTTACTCTGCAGGCAGTGGTACAGGTGAGAGATGTATGACTCAGTTTCAATTTGGTCTAAATCTCTGCAGCACTCAAAAATTCCAAAGAGCAGCTAAATAAAAAATGGGGACAAGTTTAGTAGGGAGGTTTCAAAAGAGTAAATGACAAAAGAAAATGTGTTGCACTGTTCTGTACATATTTTCTGACATGAGAAAGAGGGAACTGAGAAGAAAGCAAAAGGCAGTAAGTTGAAAATTATTAAAGAATGCCTTTTTACACTGCACAAGGACAGTTCTAATGCCTTCACATTCCCATCCCACCCCAGTCCTCTCCTGAAATGGATGGGCTGTCTGATGGAGCCAAGCACTGTCTCCAGTACAGATAAGCACAGCAATTTGGTTTAGCAGTTGAGTTCCTAAAGCTAAAGAAAGAAGTCAAAGCCGGCAAATAATGATAATAATATTATATATATAATTATTAACAATAATTATCATTTTTATACTTGGGCAAAAGCTTTACCACTTCCATCAGCTTCTATCTCTTGCTCTTCTGCTGTGGCTCTGGCAACACAGATGAAATTGCCAAATGCCAAGGAAATATGTGTGCCTGGGGCTCTCAGAGCAACCAAAAATCTCAGAACAAAGCTAGACTTCCAAATGCCTGTAGCAAACTCAAGCCCTAGACCTACTTTGTAAGTTCTCCAAAATATTTAAAAGTGAGTCATTGAACATATTTACACCCAGAAATCTTCAGAACATACAAACATACACCAGCAGCAGTTATTGCGTACCAAATTTTTTCTTATCCTTGTTCACTCATCTGTACCTGTTTATGTTGGCATCAGAGGTGGGGAGAAGCAGCCAGCTTGCTTCCTCAGCAGGACACTGTCTCCTTGTTTGATGCTTTGGGAACATCATGGTTGGCTGCCCAACCTCACCTCTTGTTCCTGACCACAGCCTGGCAAAACTACCCTAAGTGGCACAGCGCAACTCAGTGCAAAAATCACTCTTCTGCACTGAGCTTATTTAGTTGGTAGAGGACTGAAAAGCTGCTCGTTCACAGTGCAGCCTGTCCAGCAGGTGATCTGAGCAGGAGAAATTACTACTCACCTTTCACCTGGGTGACCATCTCCCTTCCAGCCTGAACTGGTGCATGTTCCAGTGCAACTCCCAGAGAAGCTGCATCTAACATTCCCTCAGCTGGGAAAGCCAGGTGTGACCCTACCTGTGGTGGCTGTCCACACAACTCTGAGATATCAGCCTGTTTAGCAGATGCATTAGGCATATCTCTGGGAGACACATTACTGATAGAGTGGGTTCATCAAGGTCTCACCTCTGTGTGAAACAGGGACTGGCATTTTCAGATATATGTGCACTAATGGCAAAGGCAGCCATGACTTCTGCAGCAGGCTCAGAGCTGACCCTGGACAAGGCAGACATCAGAGAAACCTCCACAGAGCACACCAGGCTTGTTTCTGGTTCCTCCTGTCCACGTCACTTCTGTGAACAGCAGATCTGCACCTTCCTGATTCATTTTTCCTCCCACCTCTGGTCATTAGCTCTATAAGAAAGTTTTCTTATGTGTAGCTGTATCTTCATGTTATGTCTCTAGTGCTTAGTTCAAGGAGAATTTGATCTTTTTAGAGGGAAATGGTACCCTATCTGCACAATAAATACAGATATAACATCTTAAAAGAACAATCCTGCCTGGCCAGTGCTCCTGTGCTTGGTCCAGTGAGTCAGAGGGAATCAGCTACTGAATGCAGATATATGAACCTAAGGAATAAAAGTCAACACCACACATGAAATGGAGAAAGTCTACTCATCACTTTCAACACTCTTTTCAGTCTGAATAACCTCAAGAAACATTGGCAAGACATTAAAGACACTGATCTTTAACTCCATGATTTTTAATCTAAATTTTAACCCCCAGTTAAAGCGAGGCTTTAGTTTGATACATACTTTTTGGTTTTCAGTGCTGCTAATCCTCATAATATAGATTATGCTCCAGTGGAAACCAAAATCAAAACAAAAACAAGAACAAAACACAGCACAAATCTCTGAGAATTGATAAGTCTCTCCCAGATTAATGAACTTTTAGATCCCCGACCTCACAGATGGGGAAATTTGGAATGAAAATATACAAAATAAGGGTTTAAAAAGTAATAAGAACAAAATCCCAGTGCAAGTAATGAAAGTAAACACTGAAAATCTGGTTAGTTTGTGAACATAATGAGAGTTCAGATCATATTCATATTCCCTCATCTATCCTTACCTGGAAGGCAACACCTAAGCAACCAAGTTCATCACTTAAACTGACCTTCAGGACAAAGTCTCCATAGAACAATACAGGGATAACTGATGCAGCACAGTGAAAAGAAGGATGAAGTAAAGAATCAGGGGAGAGAGTTATAAGATTCAAGAGCAAGCTGAAGACTAAGCAGCAGCTAGGTGAGCAAGAGCAGAAAGGAGAAAGATGGCCAAGGGAGAATGGGGAGAGACACCCAGTTAGGACTGTGACTGGGAGACTGGAGACACTGAACAGACATCTAAAGTAGGCACAGATATGGCAGCATAAGAACATAAGAAAAGGGAGTGCTGGAAAGGCAAGGGAAGATTTTGAATACAAACAAGAAACCAAAAAAGAGGAAGTGATTTAAAAACAGAGCAGAGCCTGGAGAACAACCAGGTAAGAGTGGCGAGATGGCCTGGGACAGCCACCCACACTCCACATGCAGCACAAGTAATACAAGAGCCATTCACATGACATCAGCTGCTTTGGGGCACCCATCCCCTGCTGTTGGGTCCTGCACTAAGAAACCACCAAAACCACCCTGTAATTAAACTGGAATAGCAGAGGAACAGTAACAGTCTGAGTAACTTGGATGTAAAGCCAGAGCTGTGATCTGACCAGGATTAGAAACAACAGTTCTATATTGGACAAGTAGAGATACCTGATCTCTGAGAATAAAGTGCTTTCTTTGTGTCACAGAGGGCTAATGAGATTAATTAGCTAATCTCTGTAAAAGTTTTTGATGTGACCATGGCCCGCGTGAAGTATTTACACTATAAAACTGCAGCAGTCTCCTTTGTCCTTCATTCCAATGGTGTTTTTCTGGGCACCAGTCCAGGAGCACAGACAGTGAATCCCAGTTGCTAGATCAGCTCAGTTCTGTATCCCTAGGGACAGCTCAGGAAACCGACAGGCAAATGTTCCTTATTAGCATATCAGCTCAGAGTCCGCAGTACGTGTCCCTCACTCTTCTTCTCCTGGGAGCTTTACACTTTCTTGCCTGTCTCCTGCCCCAGCGCCCAGCAGCAGAGGAGCAACGCCCAGCCGGAGCGGGAGCGGGAAGAGGTGTATGCTTCCTGACAGCAAGCAGCCAAGTGGGAAGTTTACAAGGACGAGAGGGAACCACATGGTCTGCTTGACTCGCAGCTGCGCTGTCTCGGCAGCTCCTGCTGGCGCTGTGCTGCATACGCACTCTTCCTGGTGGCTGTGTGTTTTCCAAGGCTTTTTTTTTTTTTGAGCAGAAAGCAGTCCTAAACAATTATCCTTTCCATCTGTTCCATGATCACATGCAGTGACCGTTGGTAGCCATTGTGGAAAATAAGATTACATGCATGCTTTGCAATGCCACAGACAGGACTGGTTCAAGAGAAAATAAACTCTCTCTATTAACTGTGCTATGCTTCCCTCCTTCCAGCAGCAACCTGTCATCCCTGATGGATTTACGCAGAATTATAGGAATATTTTGTGTTTTGTTCTCTCCTGTTTTCAATTTCTCACGTTCCACTGCTTTTCCGATTATTCACCAAGCAGATGCCCCTTCCTGGAACTGTCCCACTGAGCCCCCAAGTCTCCCACCTGCATGGTGACGGACAGTTAGACCCTGACATTTCTAGATGGGAGTGGCATTATTCATAGTAGAGAAGAACGTGCCACTTCCTTCCTGGAAAGCTACAGCCCCCCATTCATGTCACATCCAGGGCAGGTACACACATTGTACATTTCACTCCAGTTTCCACACCAGGCCGATGCCATTACCAGTTTTGTAATTACAACTTCTGTGGTAGGAGAAAATAAATTGCTTACTATTCATTGGAAGGAAGAATTGAGTGCAGTTTGGTAGGAAGAGGCCCATACATCAAGGGCTGAGAATGTGATTTTCCAAAGCCACTCCAGCAATAAGCCAAGCTTAGACTGATGGTCAAAACCATCAGTAAACTCAGAAGATAGTTGCTTTTCTGTTGGAAGGATATTACTTTACAGGGAAAGAAAATTCACATTAGGGATAGAATGTCTTATGTTGGAGAGATAGGCACTAGGATGGGTGCTAATGGCATCTCAGAATCACGCTCTGGAAGGCAGCACGCTCAGATGTCCTCCCGGCAGATAAACACAGGCACGCTGGCCCAGCGGCAGGAGCACTCAGCCTGCTCTAGGACAGTACCTGCTGTGACAGGCATGCAAATACTTCAGCTTCAGAACAGACCATTGTGTGAGCAAAGGAAAGGACAGAAAATGCTCCAGACAGCTGCTTCATGTCAAGTTGTGTTGTCCTAACAGGTGCCATTTGACTAAAATAAGAGTCTGCTATACCTCCCTTTTCCCAGCATAACCTCTACTGCTGCAAAATTCCCAGCCTTGGGATTTCAATCACCAAAGCACTGGACACCATGCCTGGATCTTTTTACCTTGATCCATAATCTAGTCAGACTCTATCTTTCCCTCAAACACATGAGTTTCTTCTCAGTGTCTGCAGAAGCATTGCTGCTACAGCCAAATGAATGGGATCAAGCCAGTAAATTTTATGCATCTCCTAAAAGCCACGTAAACCTGTCTTCATGGCTGATGGTGTGATGAGAGCAATCCTCCCCTTACAAGCTGTTTTATCTCCCATCTTGGAAAGATTTTCCTTGGGACCAAGACTGTTGTCCAGTCCAAGATGTCAGGGCAAAACCTACATTGCTCAGAGATCAGATCCTCAACTACATCGAGCAACAGTTAAATTTTTTTCCTTATTTAACTGGAGTGGGAAACATTTCTTCTCCTTTCAATAATTAAAAAAAAAAAGCCCTTGACCAGCTATGTGTTGCTGGGAATGGGGGGATAAGTAGGGAGAATGGTGAATTGTTCCTTATCCCCACATAATGATTGACTTATAATAACATGTAAGGGTACTTTACTTAAAAGCAAGTCTCCCCCATGACAAAAAACCACCCTACCATATTGTTCCTATCATCCCAGTCTTTTAACTCCAGAACCCACTTCCTTCCAAACCCTACAGATTCCCTGTGTTCACCTCTCACTGACCTGTGTCTGGTCCCCAGGACCCTCTGCTGCTATGCTTGCAACTTATCTTCCATATCATCCCTGCCCCACGTCACCTTCCCATCTCTTCCCACTTGCTAGCACTAAAATATTTACCACTTGCCAAAGATGGGGGTGACTTCTAGGAATCATCATCATGGCTAGGCTTCGCGAACGAAGATTTGAAAGGGCTCTAGGAATAGAGCAGCACTAAATAAATAATGACAGAGAGAGCAGAAATGGGCCATTTGCCTGTAAGAAAGTTTTATTAGGAAGAAAGCCCTTTAAGAATGTCTCCTCTATGGCAAATGACGTTCCCCTCCGTTATTCTGTCCACTTGTTTTCCGTAACACAGTCACTTTAGTTTCCAGACATAATTCATTTAAATATCAATATCTGGGAACTGAATAGGGAGCATCAGCACAAATTCATTCCTGGATGAAAATAGGCCACTGGGGGGAGGAAAGGAAGGGAATGAAACCTGCACACAGGTCAAAGATGGCTACAAACGTAAAACTGCTTCCCAAGGACGGTTTAACTATTTTCCAGGCTATGCCATCTTCACAGGTTTAGATTGGACAGCACTGTGGTTACTACACAGAGCAAAACTGGAAAAACCGGCTTTAGAAATGGATTGTTTGTGTCCACACTGTGGACTGCAGCAAAGAGTAAGTACTTACCCACGAAAGGTAAGTACCAGAGATTCAGGGATTTGCATAGAGAAATACACCAACTCTAAACTTAAAAACTGACCCATCACTTCAGTATTACAAAACATAATTCTGTCCTTGGTAAAAGGTTATAGCAAATGCTTTCCAGCTCCAAACTTCCTGGCTGCTGACAGACAACACACAGCAGCTTACAACTCTCTAACACTGTATGGAGGAAACTTCAGTGCCACTTTCTCCCCAGGGAAGAGTCTTCATGTGCTGTTCCAAGTGTGCCATCACTATCAGGCAGCACAGCAGTTCTGATGCTGGTCCACAAACCCCTGCAGACCATACACACACACACACACTCACACAGACTCACAGGCACTGTTAATTCAGCCTAGCCATCTCACACCCAAAGGACTCAGAGATTTAATGAGTGCTAAAGAACAAAGTCAAGCAGTTTCAGGGCAAAATATATGAGCTGACTCTTCCTCTTTTGTGCAACTATCATAAGATAAGTATCCAGAGGAGGCAGCTAGTCCCTGTTCCCTGAAGTGCACATAGCACAAGGTCTGGACAGATAAAGAAGGGAGAACAATGGGGTGCCATGTGTGTAAAGCTGACTCAGAACGAGAGGGAAGCTACGCCCACAGTTTTACCCCCAGCCTCTGCCTGGCTAGCTGCACTTGAAGAGTCAAGCACTCAGGCTCTAACTTATCCCAGAACCCTTAGGCTTAGTATTTCACCCGAGCATCCCTCAGCAACTGTGGCTTACCTCCTGGACCATTTGGCCGACTGCCTCCCGAAGGGTCTCTTCCAGAGCACGCCATACAGCTGCACTTTGGTGCTGATGTCCAGAGCATCTGAATCTGCCTGTTCCATGGATGGAGAAGGGGATACCGAACTGGATTTTGAAGAGAACATTATAGATGGATCTGCTTCTAACTCTCCCCTTCTGTGTGGCAGCTCAGGGAATCCGATTAAATGCAATGAACCAGAAGGACGTAACCAGCCCAGCAGACAGAGAGACTGGGCTTTGGTTTGAATCAATAACTTGACTGCTCAGCACTCAGTCAGTAATTCTCTCCCTGATGCACAGATGATGAGAGTTTCCTCATTGCGTATTACTTCCTGATGCATTACAAACAGCACACATCCCAGCCCAAGGGAGAAAAAGAGTGAAGAGAGTCAGACATCAGAAACACGGAGAGGCAGAAAGAGCTCATCAGAGAGAAAGCTCTCAGCAATAACATAAGCCAAAATACCTCTGCACCAGAGCCAGCCTGGAAGGTTATTTCACTCGACATTGCAGCACTTCACGTAGAAATTAGGGCAAGACGGATGTTTTACTGTCAGGCATCTCTGACACATATTCCCAAAATCTTGCACTTGGAGACAGGTTCTTCTCATTTGTCCTGAGGAAAATGAGGGCAGAGTGAGTGGGAGCCAGCAAGTTGAATCAGATTCCCTCTGCCATCGGGGCAGGAGAGGGAGGTTTTGCTGGGCCAGCCTGGCACTGCCCACCTGGGGAGAGTTCACGTGGCTGCTGGGTTTGGACTGGGCAGTGTCCATGCTGCATGCCTTGCTCAGCCTTAAAGAGCCATTGCTGATCAAAGTTAGAACACAAAATTCTGTTTGCCTCCATGCCTTGCTGCATTGTGGAGATGTGGCAAGCACAGTCTCTGCTCTGCCTCTTAGGTGCCAGCTCCTTCTTGGCCACAACACAGACAAAGAGAAATACGTCACACAGCTCGGGTGAGTCTACATTCGTCTCCTGTTTAGTACTCCCACAACAAGCTTATTAATCTGGTTCCCTCTTCCTTATTCCTCCCTTGAAACCCTTCCTCCTTGCATAGATACAAAGTCCTCTGAAGAAGCCCTGTATTTTGTAACATCCACAGGAAAGCACATTAGCATCATATTGGTCCTTCCTGTGTCCTGCCTCACCTCCAGGATTAGGATTTGTGGAAGAATCATACCTGCTAAAGCATTTGGGTTTTTGGTGCATCATATAACCAATACAGACACATGCATGCTGTATGGCATGTATGTCATAGATGCTGAGGCATCTGCTCCTGTTTTAACCTGTGCCATCCTCCGTGTATCGATTTTGAAGCTGTAATTGCTGGATGTCAGCCCTTCCCAATGCAGTTATTCAGAAGTGACACAGTGCAGATACATGCTCCTCTCTCATCCCCAGGGATCAGAAACTTGGGACATACTGTAGGCTAGATCACATCACCAGACACAGCTTCACTTAACTTTATAAGGTCAGAGGCACTTGGAAGGATCTTAAACAGAGGAAATGCAGACAGCCTGCCTCAAGCTCACAGACTGCATTCAGTATCAGAGAAATTAGAGATGCAGGTCCCTGATAAAAGTCACTATTGATCACTAGATGAGAAAGTCAGCAAACTCAGTGCTTTGTTACTTTCTCTCACCCTGGCTTTGACTGAACTTCTGGTCCCAGACAGGACATGTCCTGAGCAGCAGCAAAGCCCATCTCTGAGTGACACTAAGGCAGAGGGTGGAAAAGAGGGGAGAGCAGCAGATACTGCCTCTGTCCCACCTCAGTTCCAACTCCTGATTAGAATACTGCATTGCAGAAGAGAAGTATTAATGCTGTAGACACCATTCCACACACTGCACCAAGAAGGAAACGTTACTCATAAACAGGAGAGGGAAAAGTTTCCCTGGAATTACATTAGGCAAAGAGTAAAAAGGATTCTGGGCCCAATGGCATCACTTTAAGAGTGTAGTGAAAAGCCAGAGTTCCCATGTAAGGGTGATCCAGTGCCCCTGCTACTGTACTGCACCAGTGATGCAAAAATCTGGCAGCAGTAACCTACAGTGAGAAAAAGCAGATTTTCATCCTTTACTTCTTTACTTATTTTTAGTTTACACAGACTAAGAGAGTAAAGAGGTTTTTAGCTTTGAACATCAAAAAAATGAGATCAATTTCCTCTGAGGGGAAAGGGAAGGGGTTCACTACTCAGCAAGGGACTGAATAGTTACAGCAAGTTCTTTAAACTCAGTGGTCTGAGGGAAGGAAAGTGCAACTTGCTTTTGTCAAGTGACACAGGCAGGAGGCAGCAATGCTAGGGCAGTAGATAGCAGCGAGGTGCATTTTGTAACTGCTGGTGTCTGGACACTGTAATCTGTACTACCAGTCATTCTGTTAACGTTTCCTTCATGTCTGTACCAATCTAATGGAGATGGGGGCCTGTCTAAAGGAAAGAGTAGAGAACAACAGAACTGGTCTAAGCCACCAGCCTCACAAACAGGAGTGATGTCCTAAGGGTCAGCTTAAAGGTTCTTTAGTGTTACTTCTGACAGATGCAAAACCTACTTATTCTGGCCAGAAATTCTGGGATCAAGAAAACAGTGTCATAAAACCCAGATGGTCACAGGTATAGCCAACCCACAGTATGACAGGAGACTAAAAGGACTTCACTTGTTCAAACGAGAGCAAAGGGGGAAATTTGACTGCTGTCTAATTTTAGGCATTATTTCCCCTCTTAAGGTATTGGTAAAGGTTGATGCTTGCAAGAAAACAAAATGGCCTAAATTGGTCACGAAAAAATGAGAAAGTAATTAATTGCTGGAAGAGGATTGTGGAATTGCCCTGCAACGAGAGCAGCAGAGGGCAGAAAGCCATTACTTGATGGGGTCCACTACATGCACAGCAACCTGGGGTGGCTGTACCTTCCAGGGATACAGACTAGGCTCACATACTTTCTCTGAAATCTTTTTGTTTCAGAATAATAAAGATTTTAGGTGGCTGTTTCACTCTTGATGGCTCATAGGGGAAAGAAACACAGCTGTACATCTTAGAGAGAAAGTACTGGAGCTTTAATTAGAAGGCCTTTCTGTGGAGTTACAGGTTGCACTGGTACAGGAATTTTTTGATAATATGTTGTCTCTATTTTCCTGACACATCAAGCCAATAAAATTTTGCCAAAAATAAAACCTTTGAAGCAGACACCAGTGCAAGCTATACAGAAGTAACACTGCTTCACAGAATCACAGAATATTCTGAGTTGGAAGGGACCTACAAGGATCAGTGAGTCCAAATTCTAGCCCTGCACAGGACAGCCCCAAGAATCACACCATGTGCCTTCATCACTGGCCACCCTCCAGCTGGAAGATGCTCCCTATCAATTTAAGGATACACATACTGGCTAACTGCAGCTGCTGAGGAGGCTTGTATTTTTTTTTTTCAAGTGAAAAGTTATACCTTCATGTTCCGGGCAGCCTTACAATAGTACATTGTGCAGAAAAAACCAAACTATTTATTGGGCTGTGGCTGGTAAGTTAAGATTTGGATCAGAGCTGCTGTGGAGTTGGAAACATTCAGATCTTGCCTTCCAGTATGGATTCCTTTTTCTCTTACAGCTTCTGAGAGGTTCCATAACCATTTTCAATCCAGAGAACCATTAGAAATTATGGGAGGTATTAGCAAGTACCTGGAACAACGTGGAGAAATAAAGTCCACCTCAGGTTTCATTTATGATACATCACTTTTGCAAAGACAAAATGCCACATGTATTCCTCGAAGTGATGCTCCAGCTTCCCAGATGCACAGCTGTGTGCAGAGGATATTTTTAATAGAACAAAAGCAACCACCATCAATCCACCTCTAGTGTGAAACACTGACAGAGCGTGTTTCTTCTGCACATGATTGAATTTTCAGTGTCAGATGGGAAGCCAGAGCTGTCCTGCAGAGCTCAAAGAAAAGTTGTCCTGCAGAGCTCAAAGAAAAGAGTTACTCGGCAAGCAGGCATTAAAGTCAAGTGCCTTTGTAGATTTGCAACCTCATCTGACATCACCCTTACACATGTATAACCCAATTTGACATCATCCCTTGGTAAGAATTACTTGGTCTTAGTCACCTGTTCCAGCCAAAGCCCTCCACTGGTCCCAGCCTTTCAGACCCACCCAGATCCACACTGGATAGCCCAGGAGTCATATTAATCCAGCTGTTAGCTGTGGATATAGCACCACTTCAGGAATCTTACAGGAAGACAGAAAGTAAGACATCAGTTTACTGAAGCAAAGAGATTTAATAGCAAGCAGCCACACACACAGCCTGGCTTTTAGGGGGTGGCTTTCTCAGGAACTGACACCACAGTCAACGACCATTTCTCTTAGCATGTAAAAGTTCAAGGTTTTTTTTAAATTCTACCAAGACACCTCTTCTGGAAGAAAGCTCATTTTATTGTGGTGTTTTGGTTTTTTTTTTAAATAAAGATTTCTGTTAAATAGCTATTTTTCAGGGCTTCAGAATACATTACATCGGTCAGCTACATTTGAAAGCTTTCTCCAGAAGAGCCTTCCTGCAAGACACAAGTTTTGCCCCCATGAAGCCTAAATATCAAAGTGATCACACAGCTGACAGAAAATGCTTAGAGCTGCCACAGTTAAATAGGCTGCTTCCAACAAGCAGCTTGTTCAACACCAGTGAATAAATACAGCTCTACTTGTTTTCTTTTTTTCCTGTAGATGATGAACCCAGCAGCACACGCTGCCGTCCCTTCCTCCCTGGGGAGGGGCAGTGCTGCACGTCCACAAGCCGCACTGCTCCAGCAGCCCCAGCCGGTTACATCCCAGTCCCATTCCTGAGGCTGTGGCGGAGCACAGCGGCCACAGGAGTGCCCCTTCTCCTGAGAGGGGCAGCTGAACCTTCATACACAGGGACAGGAAAGAACAAACCTTTCCCCAAGAAAGTTTTGTAAGTGTTTAGCCCTGGTAAGCTTGCTGTTTGACACACAGCAATATCTATTTACCTTTCCAAGAGCATTTAATTTTACCTACATCTTAACTGCTTGTGATCAACAGTATTCAGCTCAATCCCAAATGTGACAGCAGCAACAGTAGATCATTACCAAGAACATGGTTTGACCAGGTGAAACAGCTGAGCAGCGATAGCTTAGCCAGCTGTAGTGGGTTGACCCTGGCTGAATGCCAGGTACCCACTAAAGCCACTCTCTCCTCCACCTCTGCAACCAGATAGAGAGAAAAGCACAATGAAGGATTCACGAGTTGAGATAAGGACCGGGAGAGGTCACTTAGTGATCTCCATCATGGGCAAAACAGACTCAAAGTGGGGATATTAAATTTATTACTAACAGGATCAGAGCAAAAGAGAAGTAAAATAATCTCAGAAACACCTTCCTCCCAACCCTCCTTCCTTCCAAATTCTACCTCCTCCCCACCCAACTACCCCTATAGCACCCACCACTACCAAAACCTGGTCGCAGAAGCCCAATACACCAGCTCTGCTGGAAGCTTTCTGCATAGAAAGCATCAGTCGAGGACTACCTAGGATATACATGCCAGGTGAGTAGCATGGACTCTGTAAAGAACAACTCAGAAATTCGTAAAGACTTTCTTGCCCTTTGCATCTTGTGGTGCCAGGACACTCAGAGGATCTACCAAACAGATCAGAGACAAGGTTTAGAGCAGTTATTCTGGGGCCAGCACAGTTTCAAGGTGCAACTGCTTACTCAGACCTATTAATTTTGAGCACAGAGAAAGTGTTGCCTTTGTAACAAGGGCACGTAAGCACAGTTCAGTACACCAGGGCTTAGCTTCCAGTTGTGGCAGCATCCCTTATCTGACTGGGGCTGCCATGTGCAGGGCCAGGAGCTGGACTTTGATGATAGTTGTGGGTCCCTTCTGACTCAGGATATTCTATCATTCTAGCAGGTATCTTGATTTCTTTCTGTTGCTTTTCCTCATGTGTGACACTGGTACTAAATCCAGAACATCATAATACATATACCAGTGCAGTAGTTTGGGTACCTTGGCCAGCCAAAAAGTCCTGCAAAAAGAAGGATTTGTTAGCATTTCCTTGGCAGAATAATAGAGGGGGAAATGTAATACCCCTACATATTACACAGGCAAGCAACTGGAGAACCATCAGCATTTTTCAGATCCGACAAAAGAGTCCAGTAAGAAGTGAGTGAGACCCAGGGCTGTTCAATGTGGAGAAGCACACTCCTTAGCTGTTTCACCAACAAAATGTGCATCTGAATTTTCCAA